AGCCGAGATCGCGCCATTGCACTCCAGCCTGGGTAACAAGAGTGCAATGGCGCGATCTCGGCTCACCGCAACCTCCGCCTCCTGGGTTCAGGCAATTCTCCTGCCTCAGCCTCCTGAGTAGCTGGGATTACAGGCACGCACCACCACGCCCAGCTAATGTTTTGTATTTTTAGTAGAGACGGGGTTTCACCGTGTTGACCAGGATGGTCTCGATCTCTTTGACCTCGTGATCCACCCGCGTCGGCCTCCCAAAGTGCTGGGATTACAGGCTTGAGCCACCGCGCCCGGCCCCTAGATGTTAACTTTCTAGAGATCAGAGAGATCTCTTTGAAGCTCTCTGTTGTGCCTAGAGCAATGTTGTACTCAAGTTTGGAAGACAACAAATCCTTATTGGTCTATGTATGCTATTTTCAGTTAAAAATACCACATAGCAGGTAAAAAAAAAAAATATGTACAGACCAGTACTTAAAAACCCAAGAGAAGAAGCTGAGCTTCATTCATTTTAGTATCTTGCTAGTGATAAAATAGACTTGAAGCACAGAAGGTACCCAACAAATATTTGTTGAAAGAATGTGTCAGAAAAATGGACTAGACTAGAGAGGACCTCAATAAGCATTTTGGTTAATAGATTTTTAGTTAAGATTTGAAATTGTGATACAAAGGTATGGATAGGAAAGATCATAGCTGAAGTTGGAAAAAAATGATCTTTTTGCAGTTGAAAATTAGTTTCAAAAGTAGAAAAGAATAGAGCTAGAATAACTCCTATCACACTATGAATGGAATAGCCCTTCAATCAATGAAGTAGGTAAAGTTTGCTTTAAGTTCCTCACCTTTTTAAAGCCCCTCTTTCTTGGTGCTTCTTGTCTAGGATATTTTGTCTTCAATAAATCTTCACCTGTGACAGCCTACCTGTATGCTTTCTGATTATCTCAGGCAATGAGAAACTATCACTTTTTTCCCCTGAACACTTAGAAAATTTTATTTTTACTTCAAATAAAGCTAGCAAAAGCTAACTCGAAATGTACTTTCTCAATCTAGAACTCTTTCAAGGGAATTATTTTCTTATGTTTTTGATGAATATTATCATTTTCTTAGGATTACCAAATGTAGGAATTATTTTTATATGCTAAATTGTGGTAGGTCATTCCTCCGCTGGTCATGAAAGGAAGAAATGTCCCACATAGTGGAGGTGATAAACTGAGTTCTCACTGAGACTCAGAGTCTCATTTAGTTGTGTTCTGCAAATGAATGAGAACCAATGGCTCTCTCTCTGAAAGGGGTCTGGAATTTGGTGGGATTCAAGAGATTGGAGCTTTGAAACAAGAAGCTATATTTAGCTTGCTCCTGAGCAGATCCAGATCTATTCTGCACATTTTTGGAATGTGCAGAATAGATCTGGATCTGCTCAGGGGAATGGTGGATGAAGGGAATATAATGCAAAATGGAAAGAATCATGGATATGGTGTAATAAAACACCTATACAATATCTATTTCAATTAAGTACTAGTTTTGTGATCTTGACCAAGTCAGAAACATCTCTGAAACTTTGTTTTCCTTTTTGTATGATAAGGAGATTGGAAGATCTCAAATTCTTATTGATATATAAATGTTATTATCAGTTGCTATAAGTAAAATTTTGATACTGCAAAATAAATAGCACTCGAAGATAAATCCTCTCAGCAAGGCAGTTTACTTCTATAGAAAGATACGGTGCATGAATGGAGCAATGGTGCCTGTACAAGGAGGGGAAAAGGTACTTATGCCTGACGGGGGTCTCCTCTACTACTGTGCCGTTCCCCTATTGGCTAGGGTTAGACCACACAAGCTAGACTTATACCCATTGGCTATTTTAAAGAGAGCAGGGGTCCGAGCTGGAGTGGCAGGTTGGTGGTTTGGCGGGAAGGGTGATTAGGAGCAGGGCAGAGCAGGTAGCCAGGGGTGACCTAGATCAAAGGAGGTGACTGGAGCAGGTTACTGAGGCAGGTGACCATTATGAGTCGGACAGAGCTGGGGCCCCGGGGAACACATGTGTACTACAAGGAAGTTGAACTTTAAAATAGAGAATTAAAGAATAAGACAGCTGAACATACCGACATACTGATTCTTTGAAGAGAAACTTGGGGTTCACTATATCTAACACAGTTAATAAGATCACATGGCTGGTAAAAAAAATATGTGCAGATAAGTGCTTAAAAACATGAGAAGAAGCTGAACTTCATTCATTTAATAACTGGTAGTGATAAAATGGACTTGAGGCACAGAAGGTACTCAGCAAACATTTGTTGAATGAATGCATTCCGAAAAATTGACTAGACTGGAGAGAAAGTAAAGTCATGATACAGCGCCTAGACCAAAGAGACTCTCAAGCTGGGCATGTAGGCGGCAGAGGAAAGAACTTATCAAAGGCTGATAGGAAGAAGTCCTATTTATCCAGGGGTCAGAATCGGAAAAACTGCAGGAGCCAGGGTAGCTGTAGCATAAAAGTTCTGAAGATACCAATACCTGTAGAGAAGACTAGCAATCATGTTTTAGAAAATTAAGATTCACAATAGAAATGCGTACTCAAATATATGTTAACGTGTCTAAAACTTGAGTTTACATTCGAGGCAGCTATAATAAAAGGCAAGGCAAGGAAGGGGAGTGATGAGCCCATTTAAATCACCATTGGCTTTGGAATTTAACAGACAAGAGTATAACCAAGCTCTACCATTCACTAATGATACAAATATTGACAAAATATTAATTCTCTGAGACATCTAGAAAATGAAAATTTTTATTCTGTCGGATGAAGATTGTAGTATCTACTTTGTAGACATCTTTTGAAGATTCATGAATTTGTAAAAGGGACCTGGCCGGATGGGGTGGCTTACGCCTATAATCCCAGCACTTTGGGAGGCCGAGGCAGATGGATCACGAGGTCAGGACTTTGAGACCAGCCTGGCCAACATGGTGAAACCCCGTCTCCAAAAAAATTAAAAAATTACCCGGGCACGGTGGCGAGCGCCAGTAATCCCAGCTACTTGGGAGGCTAAGGTGGAAGAATCGCTTGAACCCCAGAGGCGGAAGTTGCAGTGAGCCGAGATCTCGCCACTGCACTCCAGTCTGGGCGACAGAACAAGACTTTCGTCAAAAAAAAAGGACCTAAAACATGCCTCACATGATTTATTCTTTATGACTATTATTATTTTTATTGTTTCTGTAGATTTTATTGCTGAATAACGTATGAGCCAATCAATATTCATCTTGCCTTCAGTGAAGTAACTTGTAATTTGCAAAATAATGGCGTCTTTATTCTCCTGTGTACTTTTTTCCTCGTTAATGCTCTTTTAAGCCCTTTCCTTCCCACCCAAAATTCTATTTTTGCCATAGTAGCACTAAGGGGGAAAAAAGGACCTTTCCTCACTCAGTCTAGAGTAGCTTAACAATAAAATTAATCCGAAATTTGCATAATACTGGTAGCTTGCCGGTAGATACGCTATAGTCAACAAACAATACAATTTGTTTATAACTCCTAAATCAGATTTTCAAAGAAATGTAGCTTTGGTGAATTGTAAGCAAAACCATTAAAATGGTCTGAGTTCGTTTTGAAGTTACCTTCATCTTCAGGATGTTTTAAACTCTGTTGGAGACTGGCGGACCTCATCCTGTCAGGTTATTCCCCAATTCAACTTCCCCGATCAAACATTATCAGGCCAGGCGACTGTTTCGGTTCAAGTATAGGCCCAGGGTAGGCAAAGAGTAGAAAACGGAGGGAGGACTGGGTGTCACTTCTACATTTTGACCCAAGCTTTCATATGAGGAAATTATTTTCAAGGGCTTACCGCAATAGCAGTTCCACAGGTAGAAAGTATTATTTCTCCAGAAAAAACGTGTCTGAATCTACGAAGCTGTGTGTGAAGAACAAGTCTAGGGAATACGCTCAGGTCAAGTCATGCGACCAAAGAGCGGAAAAGGGAGCGTCCTGCATGCAAGCGTGCTGGGCGTTTGTTTGGTTTGCTTGCTTGCTTAAAGTATCCGTTCGGAGGGATTGGCGGCTAGAAGTCAGAGGCACAGACTGATGAGGAAATGCTGAAGCGCAGCCCATGAGGTGCTGAGGTACTCAAAATAGGAGGATAAGGTATGAGGGAAAACAAGGTTGGAGTCTAACAAAGGCGCCTTTGCGTCGCAGAATGCAACCTGAAGCGGCTCGCGGCTCCCTGGGGAGTAACCTCGAGAGACACAGCGAGGTAGGCAGAGAACCCAGGAGCCGCGCCTCCGCCGCGGCCCCGCCCCCGCGGAGCCACGCCCCCCAGCACCGGAACCAATAGGAGCCCGGGATATTAGCGGGTGGGAGGTGCGGCTGGGTTGCTACAGCCAGAGCTGGGCGGTGGCGGGCGCTGCTGAAGGAGTCTCGCTGAGCTCAAGGCGGCGGCGCAATGGAGGGACTGGAAGGTGAGGAGAGGAAGGGATGCTGGCAGGGCGGCTGGAGCGGGCCCGGAGCAGCTGGGGTCCCTGGACACCAATAGCAGGGAGGCAAGGGCAAGCTTGGAGCGGCGGACTCCGCCACGTTCCCGCCGCGCCTGTGGAGGCCGGGGCCAAAGGGATCCGGCCAGCCCAGATGCGGTGGAGCGAACGCTCCCAGGCTGCCCCGCCTCGAGCGGTCTTCGGCTGGGCTTGTCCGCCCGGAGCCCGTTCCTGTTTCTGGCAGCGCGCCTGCACGTCTCTTCCTACAATTTTCTGATCTTGCCTGACTTCTGAGTGCCCTTTTAGTGATCCCAGTCTCTGGCCAGATTTTGTTTTCCTTGCAGACTGGACTCTATCCATTATTGTCCATAGCCTTAACATCGCCAGGCCAGTTTGTGCTGGAGCCCCGGGGTGTGTCTCCAGCCTCGAGCTCCTGACACCTTCCTGGGCCAATCTCCCTAGGTAACCGGTTTTTTTTTTACATTCCGACAGCCTTCTGTCGGAGGGATGTCAGAGCATCAACTAAGGAAGTGTCACTGGCCAGATTTAAAGCCGGTACGATAGATTACCAGAAGGATTTGATAGCTTCTTCACGACCGCTGTGTGAGGAAGAGCCTGTATTGGTTCCTTATCTTTGGGTTTATCTTTGTGCTGTAACCGTGACTCCAGATTTTGCTTTGTTCGCAGTTCTTTCACTTTTCCTCTATTCTATTTACCCATTTTATCCTGTGTAATGAAAGCATTCACCTAAAAACAAAGGAAGAAAAAACCCCACAATAACTAGCACTGGCAACAACAGTTACGAGATTTTATTTGTTATGATGAAGAACAAACCTACAGAATTGAGATCCTGTTGTCTTGACTTAGCCGCCCCCCCCAGCCCCGTCTGCTAATTTACATGGATTCAGTTGGAATTAAGAATGAGCAGAAGCGTTGAGTCTTGTGTATTGTTGCATGCCAGAGAGTAAAATATTGTACATTGTGTAATGAAGTGAAAAGTGGTAACCGGTAACTTTTTCAGTCATCTAAATTCATCGAAAAGCAAATGTAATAACATGAGTAGGAGTTTATTTCGTGCTTTTGCTCTGAGGTTAAGCTCTCATATTAAACACCTTGAAAATGATAAGTAAATAATTCGGATAATTTTCCATTTGTGGACAGCTGCAGTATGCTATGAAGGCCTTTTTTACTTACGTGTTTTTGGAAGATAATTAAAGTTTCCATAAAATAAGGAATTGTAATTATAGTACAGTATTTTTTAGTTTCAAGATACTTTTGTGTCTTGGTGGGATTAAAGCACAGTGGATAGGAGCATGGGTTCTGGAATTCCTTTAAGATTATCCTTATACATAATATAAGGTTTTATTATATATTATCTATGAAGTGTTTTGGAACAGTTTGCAGATTTTTATTTTATTCAACATTTGTTATTAAGAAAAAGATCATCATCTGATTTTTGCTTATGTATGTATGTTAAGCACCTAAAACAATGCCTGACACAAAGTAGGTCCTCAATAAATATTTGTTGTTAAATAAATGTCTATTATGGGCATCTTTTTAGGTTCTAGGATGCAGCAAAGAATAAAAACGATAAAGCTTTACTCTCATTGAACCTACGTTTCAGTGAACCTTACATTTTAACAGTGCCAAGATATTACTATTGAAACCTTAACTAGGAATGCTTTTCAAATGTAATGGAAACCTATAAGGATAATCAGTTGCATAGGAGAACAAATAGGTGGATTCTGTATTTATAGGCATGTTTTATGGGCCCAGTATATGATGTTAATAGTGCTTGCTCTTTTTGATTTTTTTTTTTTTTTACAAAATAAGATGGTATCATTAACTATAATGTATTTAATTATGATAAATTGGGTTAAAATATATGAAATTGCTCTAAATTATGTAGGGCAAAACAGTTGAATTTTAGTAATTTCAAGTGGTTCGATTTAATAAAAGCTCTGAGAGTTTTCTGTTTAAGTTAGGAAGGTGGTTTTTCCCCTTTCTCCTCCTCCACTCTCCCTCCTCTAAGAAATCACCCTTTGCAGATATCAAACTCTGAGTCTTAAGGTTACCATTCATTAATTCATTCATCTATGCTTTCGTTCTATAAACATATAGAAGTTTAAGTCTAGTACTTTGAAGATGTCTAATAAATATTATATTGCAGTATCCAGTAAGAAATAGTCAAAAGTTTGCTTAATGTGTGAGAGTAATTGAGTAAATATTGTATTCTGGCATTAGATATGTTTCTAGTTGAAACCAGTTACCAGACATTAATCTTGGCTGTAAAACTAGAAAATATATGGACTCTTGAAAAATTCTGTTGAAGATGATCTTACTCTTTTTTCATAACTTTTACATTATTTGTATGTAATCATATACCATTTATATTACTTGTGATCTTTTGGGTCTTTATGCTTCTTGAATATTCAGTCAATAGATGAGGTATTAGGCTCAAACACTATACTTTGAATCTAAGTACAAGTTATTTATGTTTTTGTATAATCAATATCTCAACAACTCTAAATTGTGTGGGTAATTTTAGCAAAGCTTAATTCCTTTTCATCTGAAAAGTTTAGCCCTACAAATCTAAGGATAATAGAGGTAGTTCTAGACTTGGGAGAGTTCCAATCTCTTATAAGCTATTTTTATTTGTAAAATGAAGAGGTGGTAAAATCTAAGCAGATTTTATCCTTGTATATAGTATTGTCATTCCCTTCATAACCCTGATAAATGCTTATAAAAATTGTGACTGAGATCAGACTGTCTGTTCCTCTTACGGATTGTTGACTTATTAGATTTTAGTACTGCCCTCTAAAACTTGATTGGAAGACTGATTGCTCTTCAGTGTAGCTCTTGGTTTAAAGACAGTCATGTCTCATCAAAATTTCTGTTTTGTTGGTGGGGCGTGGTGGCTCACGCCTGTAATCCTAGCACTTTGGGAGGCCGAGGCGGTTGGATCACCTGAGGTCAGGAGTTCAAGACCAACCTGGCCACCATGGTGAAACCCCATCTTTAAAAAAATAAATAAAGAAAGAAAAAATGTTTTGTTTATCTTTTTCTAGTATAAATGTATACTAATTGACTGAATAATTCTTCATCTTTATTTGTCTAGCATTTATTGCTTTGTGATACTGAGTTAGTTGCCAAATATTTTAATAGACAGTATATTGGAGAGGACTGTGTTTGAATCTTGCTTTCTTTTTAGTTTTATGATTTGGGGAGTTTACTTAATCTGAACCTTAATTTTCTCTGCTGTGAAAAAAATTGAGCTATTAAATATGTAACTACCTAAATTATATTAAATATTAAATGATGTAATATATATGTAAAGCATTTAACTAAATGCCTGATGCATAGGAGACCCTCTCAGTATGTGTGTTTGTTAAATGAGGAAAATCACAAAAGACATGTTAACAGGTCCAATATAGGTAAAACATAGCATGCTTGGGAGGAGAGAAAGAAATATTGAAGCCAGGTAAGAAAGGACTTTAAAGGTGATTGGTATTCATCAGCAGTGCCTCAGACTGTAGAAAGTCCTGGTAGGATTGGGATTCAAAAGAGAGCTTCAGATTTGACAATTAGTAAATTCATGGTAATTCCGTTTTAAAGTCTTTATTGTCTCCTTATTAAACAAACTTTTCCTGATTATCCATACTTCTCCAAGACGGCATTGTGACCATCTCTTCTGCCCTTACTCATTTTATCTTAATTCTGCTTATCACCATGTACTATTTTACATATTTGTTTTTATTTATTTATTTTTCCTATTAGATCAGTGAAAACTCTGTAAGATCAGTCTTTGTTTTTTATCATCACCCTGCCTCCTAGAACAGTTTCTGCCTCATGCTAGGTACTCAACAAATACTTACTGAATCAAGGAATGGATGTATTTCTTTCTTTTTTTTTTTTGAGGCAAGAGTTTTGCTCTTGTTGCCCAGGCTAGAGAGCAATGCCATGATCTCTGCTCACCGCAAACTCTGCCTCCTGGGTTGAAGCAATTCTCCTGCCTCAGCCTCCTGAGTAGGTGGGATTACAGGCATGTGCCACCGCACCCAGCTAATTTTGTATTTTTAGTAGAGATGGGGTTTCTCCATGTTGGTCAGGCTGGTCTCGAACTCCTGACCTCAGGTGATCCACCTGCCTCGGCCTCCCAAGGTGCTGGGATTATAGGCATGAGCCACTGCGTCTGGTAGAATGGATTTATTTCAATACGGTAGTTGGCCTGATAAAGTCTGCCTGCAATACAGACAGTGAGTAAATGAGAGGTAGGGAAGGACTAAGCAGAAAATGTAAGTCAGTGTTTCAAAAAATGTGCTCCTTAGGACACTGGTGGAGGACACTGGTCTTAGGAGTACAAAGGATAAAATAAATTTGGGGAAATAACAACATACTAAGTCTCTCTCTCTCTCTGTTTCTCTGTCTCTGTCTTTATGACTAAGGAAGTCTGCTCTAAGAGAACCCATTTAACTTTATTAATCTACCATTTTCCAAACACTTGGCCATGAAGCAAGGGATTCGAGAGTAATTCGTAGTATAAATATGGGTCATGTTCAGACTGGGTAGGAAGGGAAGTGCAGCCAGGTATTAGCTTATTAAGAAAAGCAAGTCGCTCTGAGATCAAGATACTAACTGAGAGAAAGGTAGAAGGTAGAATTCTACGGTTAAACAGGGAACATGAGTGTTTTAAAGTCCAGAGTTGGTTGTTTAGGCAGCAGTTTTGCCAAACTAGAGCACTAAAATGTGCTAGTGAAAGATGACTTCTTTCACTAAAAAGAAAGGTGAAAGGTGACTAAAATGCTTTGAAAAATGAGGTTGTGTGTAAAAGTAGGGTAGGCATTGACTAAGTTCAGACAAAAACTCTTCTAGGGTGAGCTGAAAAGGGTAAATCTTGTCAGATACTGGAGAATATTGATCTGAAAGTAGTTCAGTTTTGGAAAGGATATTGGGAAGAAAGTGGTATAACATATGTTGTGCCTTCAAAAGATAGGTTCATTGAGTATTAAAGGTTGAAGTCAAATGGGTGGTGATAGAATATTAAGATTTACTAGCAGTAAGGAGATAGACCTGCCACAAGGGAGGCCAGAATTGTTCTTAACTTCCAAGATTTATTTGAAAATGGTTCTCTCATAATTCTTAAATGTATGCATTTTAAAATGTCACAACTATTTAAATAAAATCATTATTTCTCATCACTTACAGTATTAGGTAAAGGTACCATTTCAAGTCTTATCATCATGCAGATTTTGAAGTTGCAAAATATAAGCAATGCATAACAGAATCAACAGTGTGTACCAGATGAATTTTGTAAGGAGAGATTGGCATCTTAAGAGTTCTAGAATATTAAAGTATTTTATTGACTTGGTTCTGTCCATTACCTTGAGTGCTTATTTTAATAGTATATGCTCTCTGGTATAACATTCACCACTCTGAATATCATATCTCTCTTGTATTTTTATAAGATGCAAAATTTGCTACTTTTTGCCATGTAGGAAAGGTTAGCAGAGTTTACTTGAATGCCTTGGAAAGTAGAATTTTTTTATTTTTGTAGGTTATGAAGCATTTTTATATGTAATAGTTGATCCTCTGAACTTTTAAGGTAAATTGAGCAGATATTAGCCTCATTTGCCTCATTTAACAGATGTTAAATTGAGTCTGCCTGTATGATTAGTAATACATTTCCTTCTAATTCATGTCTTAAAGGCTTTTCTAACAAGGAGTAGGTCCTTTCAGGTTCTCAGTTCTCTATGTAGATAAGTGGAAGTTAATTCCTCAGCATGGTATGTAGTACCTGAAGCATTCATTCTACCATCTGCAACTGGTTTAATCATTCTTATATATGAACTTCATTTTTAAAAAATCAGTAAGAAAGATGTCTTCCATGTACTTTTCTTACTAATGTGGTCTTAAGGTAGATTTTGTTAAATTACAGCATGTTATACATAAAAGGGGACCATATGTCATTTAACTTAAATTCCTTATTTTATATAAGAAAATCTAAACCTTAGAGAGCTTAAATATCTTGCCTGGGGATTCATAGTGCTCAGTGAGAGAGCTGGGGACTTGAAGTTAGATAATATAAGACAAATTCACTGCATTTTCAACTATACTGTCATGTCTTTTAATGAATTTAATTAGAGCAAAATATGGCTTTTGACTCTGAGGCCAAAGGTATTTATAATGATCTGGGTAGAAGTTTCCATTAATATGTTTTTTAAAAAAATTATTTTAGTAATAAAATTTGTATCCAGGCACATGATGATTATTTTAATTTTAATTGAGTGAAAGGTGTAGCCACTTCTTTATTATTTAGTTATGCCAATAAGGTCAGATATTTTAATTTCTTGGTCAAATTAATCTTAATATAATTATTACATATATAAAATAATTAACAATTCAAATAATACATGCAGTTTGCTTAATTTACCTTACAGCATTATACTTTCTAATATCTGGTGATAAAGAGAAAATGATTTTTTTTGCTCTGAAATCTTCACATCAAGTCAGTAAGTCACTGAACTGATTACCAGCAGTATTTTTTCATGCTTTAGAAATTAGTAAGATAAATTTTGTTTTTAACCTTAGTATTCTACCACAGAGATAGCCTTTAAATCAAGAGACTATGACAAATTGATTTTCTTAAAATAATTACAAGAAAACTAGGTATTTCCAACTAATCAGCTTGGTTATCCTTAAATTATGACTTTTCTTTGTTTATTGTGGTCTTTTTGCCCACTGATAACTCTTAAGCCCATTTTAGTTGATAATTTTGCTTATTTCAAAATGCAGTAAGAAATTTTTTTTTACAAGAACAGTCAACTTACCAATGAAACTAAGAGAAAACATTACAACGTGTAGTTTCACAATTTAAGCTATAGAAATTATTTGATTTATTTTTATTTTTTATTTTACTTTAAGTTCTGGGTTACATGTGCAGAACGTATAGTTTTGTTACATAGGTATACATGTGCCATGGTGGTTTGTAGTACCCATCAACCTGTCATCTAGGTTTTAAGCCCCGCATGCATTAGATATTTGTCCTAATGCTCTCCCTCCTCTTGCCCCCTACCCCATGACAGGTCCCGGTGTGTGCTATTCCCCTCCCTGTGTTCATGTATTCTCACTCACTCCCACTTATGAGTGAGAACATGCAGTGTTTGATTTTCTGCTCCTGTGTTAGTTTGCTGAGAATGATGGTTTCCAGCTTCACCCATGTCCCTGTAAAGGACATGAACTCATTCTTTTATATGGCTGCATAATCTTCCATGGTGTATATGTGCCACATTTTCTTTATCCAGTCTATCTCTGATTGGTATTTGGGTTGGTTCCAAGTCTTTGCTATTCTAAGTAGTGCTACAGTAAACATTTGTGTCCATGTGTCTTTATAGTAGAATGATTTATAATCCTTTCAGTATATACCAGTAATGTGATTGCTGGGTCAAGTGGTATTTCTGGTTCTAGATCCTCGTAGAATCACCACACTGACTTCCACAATGGTTAAACTAATTTACACTTCCACCAACAGTGTAAAAGCATCCGTATTTCTCCACATCCTCACCAGCATCTGTTGTTTCCTGACTTTCTAATGATTGCCATTCTAACTGGTGTGAGATGGTATTCTGTTTTGGAGAATGAAAGCATTGTCCAAATTGGAGAATTGTTACCTTGTTACTGGGTAGAAGTTCCCTCAGTAGGTCTTGACATCAGTACACATGCACATGCCATATTTTGTGAATTACAGTGCTATGCTCTATGACCAGCTAATATTAGAGGGCATTATAAATTTATATATATGTTATGTATATCTTTATTTTGGGTGAAGTAATGACATTCTTTTCCAAAAAGATTTTTTGAGGGATAATTGCTTTTGAATTATCCCAAAGTATCATTCTTTTAAAATGCTATTGTATCTTTTCGTGCCTTTTATTGATAATAATTTTTTTAAAAAACATTTTAAGCATGTTTGATAACTTCTGGAAATTAATTTCAAGAACTGGATTTTAGTATATGGTAATATTCTGGTTGCTGTTTTTTTTGTATAAAAATTGGTGATTTATTTCTTAGATCTATTTATTAAGTAAATTATATAGATTATGTTAGCTTTCCGAGAGGAATAATTATGTTATTCTTTTCTTGTGTTAATATTACTAAATGCATGCTTAGTATGTAGTTTTTCCATGTGCTGAATTTATTTTTCTCAATAATATATGGTGCTTTTTAATATTTTGTATTGATAAATTTTAAAATCATTGCTTAGTATTTAAAGGAATACATGAAAACCGTAAGCAAGTTTAATAGTTAGCATGTGATGTTATGTAGACCATCATTTTGAAGACATTCTTACCTGAATGAACCTAGTGGTTTCCATTTAGTAACTCTGGATTGTTAGTGGACTTAAGTGATTTAGATAAATGAGATTGTTCTCCCTAAATACCTTACCTCCTGGTATTGGAGAAGGGACAAATCAGGCAAATCTTAGCTTTGCTTTTGTAATGTTTACTGCTTAACTGCCACTATGCAACATTGCATCCATCTGAAATGACAGTTTGTCACTATCCACCAGTCAAATAGGGCAGTGGAGTAATAGGAAAATGAGAAAACAAAACAGTTCTTCTGTTACTGTATTTGAATGCATTCTTACCAATATCTATTTTGATTTGCCTGCTTAGTTCTCTGTGAACTCACTAAATGTCTTGGACCAGGCTATATGGAGTCATAATTGTACTTTTAAAAATTAGTTTGTTACTTCGAAAGGAAAATGTTTTATTTTATTTGTCTTTCATGTGATAAAAGAATTTTAGCATCTCTAAAATATTCATTAGAAAATATGGGGAAAATGTTACATGTTTAAGATTATTTTTAGGAAATTACAGGTATGAAAAGCTTATGTTTATTTTTTTGGAAAGAATGATAAAATGAATTATGTAGAATCAGAAATCATGTTTCTTTTTTATCTTTTTAGTAATAAAATTTGTTATATCCAGGTACACGATGGTTATATTAATTTTATTAATAATTGAGTGAAAGTTGTATCTATGCTACCTCTTTATATAATTTTGTTTGTAAGGTCAGAATATCTCCACTTACTAGTCCACTGACTCTTAATATAAGTATTATATGTATAAAATAATAATTCACATACTACATACAGTTTGTATAACTAGGTGATCTTAATCTTTGTGGTTTTTTTTTTTTTTTTTTTTTTTAAAGACAGAGTCTGGGTCTATCGCCCAGGCTGGTCTGCAGTGGCACGATCTTGGCTCACTGCAACCTCCACCACCCAGATTCAAGTGATTCTTCTGCCTCACCCTCCTGAGTAGCTGGGATTAAAGGCACCCACCACCATGCTAGGCTAATTTTTGTGTTTTTAGCAGTGACTGGGTTTCATCATGTTGGCCAGGCTGGTCTCGAACTCCTGACCTCAGGTGATCCACCTGCCTTGGCCTCCCAAAGTGCTGGGATTATGGGTATGAGCCACCTCGCCTGGCAGATCTTAATCTTAATGGGATTATACTTTCTATTGTCAGGTGATAAACAGAACGAGATTCCTTTTATTCTGGATTCTTCAAATCATCTCAGGAAGTCATTGAACTGATCACTAATGGTATTTCTTCATACCTTGGAAATTAATAAGATAAATTTTGTTCTTAAAATGTAATAATTTACCATAGAGATAGCCTATAGGTTAAGAGAGTACGACAGATTGATTTGCCTAAAATAATTACAAGTAAACTAGATATTTCCAACAATACCAGTTTGGATATCTTTAAATCATGAATATGTATCCTGACCTTTTCACCACTGGCAACTAAGTATTATGCTCATTTTAATAGATAATTTTGCATGTTTAAAAATGCAGTAAAACATTTTTCACGAAAACTAATAACTTACATATAAAGCTAAGAGAAAACATTAAAATGTGAAGTTTCAAAATTTTAAGCTACAGAAATTATTTATTAAATTCTTTCCTGTTTTAGAGAATGGAAGTGTTGTCCAAGTTGGAGAATTGTTACCTTGCAAGATTTGCGGAAGAACATTCTTTCCAGTAGCATTAGTGAGTAGACTGATTTTGTACCTTAACGGTTTTACACATCTGTAATTGTTCAGTAATTCTGGTCAATTCTTATGGAAAAAACTTAGCTGGAATAGTTTTTGAAGAGTTAATGGGTAATATTCTTTGTTCAAGTGTCTTGATTTCAGCTATGCCATTCTTCCAAAATTCTTTCTTTTCTTCAGAGTTTGGTCTTCAGGACTCTTCTATTAAAGTTTAAAGTTATTCCTAGTTTTATGAGACTTACCAAAAACAAGCAAAATCACACAAAACAGTACCTTAGAAATAAGTAATTATTTACAGATACAAAATAGTGTAATATCTGGGATTTGCTTTATAGTACTTCAGGAAAAAAGTAGGGATGAATGAAGCAAAATTGCCAAAGTGTTGGTAATTGTTGAAATTGGGTGATGAGTAGTAAATGGGAGTTAATTATCCTTTTTGTCAGTTCTTGTTTATGTTTGAAATATTTCAAAGGAAAAGTTTTTTTCAACATAAAAGTACACCTAAAACTTATTATGCATTCTTTAGATATGTTAGCTACTTAGTAAATATAAATAAAAGCACTTTTAACTAATCTTAATAAAAATCAGCTAACTAAATAGGTAATAATAAAAATTATGCCTATGTACCTTATGTATTTTAACCTCAAGCATAAACATTTATTAATACTTTGATGTAAGACATAATTTTTCTTTGAATGTGGCTTTACACATTAAAGTTCTGCCACAATCTGCTGTGCACCCTCTTACTATTTCTAGTTTGTTTCTTTAAAGCAAAGTGAGGAATTAATGATCCAAAGTGTCCTGATTGTTGGTACCTTTTAAACAGTGATGGCTTTTTTGTACTCTTTTAAAAACATCTTGCCCACACATTCAATGATTTTTTTTCTTATCATTTTGTTATTTTTCAGAGTTTTCACCCAAATTTCATGGCCAAAAAAAAAAGCCTTTTTTGGCCCTCATGTAGTATTTAACTGAATGATGTTATTAAAACAACTACATGTTATCATGAGTCATCATGTTGGGAAACCAGCACCACATATACTTGACATACATAACTCAGTGAGGAACATATGCATATGAGTCCATTAAATAATCATCTGCTATCCTCATTTTTTGTTAAATACTTAAGAGCTGTGATTATAATGCTTGTTTGTTGAAATGAAAACTGAAAATAAGCATGTAAAGCAGTTGATTACTAATTGTGTACTGAAAGCCTAAGAAGCTCCAAGACACCAAATAAACCAGTTTTGAGGTTTTGTTTTTCCCCAGAGAAAGTTTGACAGTTCTACCTTCTTCAGTGTTTATCAAAACACAAAAGAAAAAAGTGTGTTTAGTGTAACAGTGTCAGCGGTCATCATGCTTAATATAGTGGAGGGAGAATGTTTATCCAGTTGATTCATTGGAAGTCATTTAAGACAGCTTCCACTTGATTGTCCCTAAACTGAATGAATGAATGAATGAATTGACAACTCTATTTTTAAAAAAAGAAAACCTGTAAGAGTAGTGGAACACTAGATAGCTCAAGACAAATCCTAGGTGAAGAAAGCTGCAAAGTTTGAGATCCAGATTAGTGTGTGGGAAAGACACAAATCAGACCACCTGTACTATTATTTTGTGTTAAATTTATGTTAGCATATTACTATTATATTAACTTTAGGAATCCAAACTACTACTCATGTTAACTTTTGTAATCCTAAAACTAATGTATTCTTTTCATTTTCTTTTTCTAGTATCTATGCTCAGGCATTTAGTAAAGACATTTTCTTTCTTTTTCACTGTAGTGTCTTTGACTTTGCTACTATTTCTTATTCTTAGTGTTACAGGACAGAGAAATATGTTACAGGAAAGGGGTCCCAATCCAGACCCTAAGAGAGGGTTTTTGGACTTTGCGCCTGAAAGAATTTAGGGCACATTGGCAGTGCAAAGTGAAAGCAAGTTTATTAAGAAAGTGAAGGAATGAAAGAATGACTACTGCATAGACAGAGCAGCCCCTGGTGCTTCTGGTTGGGCGTTTTTATGGTTATTTCTTGATGATATGCTAAACAAGGGGTGGATTATTTATTCATGCCTCTCCTTTTTTAGACCATATAGGGTAACTTCCTGATGTTGCCATGACATTTATAAATGGTCAAGGTGCTGGTGGGAGTATAGCAGTGAAGATGACCAGAGGTCATTCTTGTCACCATTTTGGTTTTGGTGGGTTTTGGCCAGCTCCTTTACTGCAGCCTGCCCAGGGTCTTTATGACCTGTATTTGGTGCTGACCTCCTGTCTTATCCTGTGAATTAGTGGTCTAGGAATGCAGTCCTGTAGATTTCAGCTTCATTTTACCCAGCTCCTGTTGAAGATGGAGTTGCTCTGGTTCATACACTTCTGACATTTCTCATGTACAAACTAGGAGAAGAGTATTAAATAATAAAATGTTAGAAGAGTGTTTATAATTTCTTTTAGTGAGCAAGATAACTTAAAGCATGCGTTATATATATGTTTTAAAACTTAACTTTTGGTTAAGGCAAGGTGTATCTTATTTATTTTGCATTCAGATTTTTCAGTCGGTCTCAGAGTTTTAAACTGGTTTCAATGTAAATAAAGTTCTATAGTCTTACCTTCTGTAGAAAAGAAAATGATAGGCTGCATTTCTTCACCTTAACAGAAAAAACATGGACCCATTTGCCAGAAAACTGCCACTAAAAAACGGAAGACTTTTGATTCAAGCAGACAGAGAGCTGAAGGAACGGATATTCCAACAGTAAAACCTCTCAAACCGAGGGTAACTATATAACCTTTTGAACAGTATGAACCTTATGTGTGTTGAAAAATATTAAAATTATCTGTTACATTAAGATTAAGAATAAACACAATTATCTGCTACATTAAGATTAAAGAATAAATACAACTCTGTATTATGTGTTCAGCTTAGAAATTATCAGAAGCTTATAAAACAAATTTTATTTTAAATAAACTTTTAAACTCTTCAAAGGAGAGACCAAGGTGCTGTCTCCATCAATTACAGTGAGTTTGTTTTTTTGTTTGTTTGTTTTTTTTGAGAAGGAGTTTCACTCTATTTCCCAGGCTAGTGTGCAGTGGCATGATCTCGGCTCACTGCAACCTCTGCTGCCCAGGTTCAAGCAATTCTTATGCCTCAACCTCCTGAGTAGCTGGGATTACAGGCACCTGCCAGTGTGCCCGGCTAATTTTTGTTTTTATAGTAGAGATGGGGTTTCACCATCTTGGCCAGCTGGTCTTGAACTTCTGAACTCGTGAGCCACCCACCTCGGCCTCCCAAAGTGCTGGGATTAATAGCATGAGCCACTATGCCTGCCTACAGTGAGATTTTTATAGCATTGGAGAGCCAATTGCTACCCCACATTCTTTTCATTATTTAAAACTTTAGATATAAATTAAGTTTTGACTTATTACTATCTTCTACCATTTTGATAATCTCTAATGCAGAAAGTTAAGCAATTATTTATAGACATATTAGCGTAATAGATGCTGCTTATCTTGACTTAATGACTGGCAGGATTTGTAATCTATATTATGTTTCTAAGGAAATGTTTTGTCAGTTGTTCAGTGTCCACATATAGTTATTGTCAGCTTATTTTCTTTCTTGAAACCAAAGCTATGAAAGTATTGTGATAATCTCTCCTTAATATCTGTCATATATTATAGTAATCCCTTGGTTATCTGTAGGAGATTGGTTCCAGGACCAGCCTCTGATACCAGTGTCTGAATACTCAAATTCCTTATGGCATAGTATTTGCATGTAACTTATGCACATCCTCCCATATACTTTAAATTATGTCTAGATTACTTTTAATTTAATGCTATGTAAATAGTTGTTGAATTGTATCTTTATATTACTTTTTATTATTCTATGGTTATTTTTTATTTTTCTTTTCCTGAATGTTTTTGATTCATGGTTGAATCCATGGATGCACAAGCCACGAATGTGGAACCCGTGGGTAGTAAGGGCCGACTGTGTATTGCTAAGAATAAATTACATAAATACTTTATTCAGCATAGTTTTTAGGCATCATTTCATTGAAGTGGTCTAAGCTAAGTACCTGATTGGATAGGTTTTTGAAACAAAACCCTACTGTTAATGGTAATAACTTCTTCCAGTGGTATAAGAACATTTTCCTATGGGAAAATTAATCTTACTAATAAAATCATTTGATGATAGAAAAATTCGATGTTCATTTTTGTTTTTTACTGTGAGCATTTAAAGTAAGGGTGATGAAGTTTAAATAAGGTACATAAATCAATATATGAAGTTTTTCTTAGTTATCTGCTACCTATATTAGCTTTAATTTTCTTTAGTAGATATAATTGCCAAATCTTTGGAGGCAGTATAATATAGTGGGTGTTAAACTTGGCTCAAGAGTCAGACTGTCTGAATTTAACCTTCACTTTGCTACGTACCATGCTATTCTGGGCAAGTTAGTTAATGTAATTATGCTTATGCTCACTGTAAACTGGTGATAGTAGTAGTATTTATCTTTGTCATGTATGATTATTGTAGGAATTACATAAGATTATCCATGGCGATTTCAATGAATGTTAGTCATCCTATTTCTTTTATAAGGAATTGGGGTTGTAAACTTAAAAACTGAATTCTAGTAAAAAGCAAAGTAAAAACCATTACTTTGTATTAGGTGGTTTATTGCCTTGTTACCTAAAACTATGGCCCATAGAGCAGTAATAGCAGCAGTATTTGGGAACTTGTTAGACATGCAAAATCTCAGTCTCCTCCCAAAGGTACTGAATTAGAATCATTTTAAGAAATCTTGGGTGAGTCATATGCACATTAAAGTTTGAGAAGCAGTGTCTTAGAGGATTTGATTGCTGTAAGTGTAGTTCTTAATATATTTACCTGTATCAAGAAAATCCTACAAACTCATTAGCAGAGTGGGGCAAGGCAACCACAAACTTCATTTTTGGAAAAACAAAATGTAGGCATAATTCACAGATTACCCATAAGGACTGTCCAAAGCAGTTGAAATCCAGGAGAAATTACCCATAAGAGGAGGTACACAAAATTGCTTGGGGGCCTGTGGCTAGATTCTGGAAATCTGCCACCTTAAAGGTGAGGAGTTTCCTCATCTTAAAAGTGATTCCTTAAAGGTGAGAGATCTTATCAGACAGTGTATTTATCTCTTGTTTAGTACAGCAAAGGCAGAAACTGGGAGGAACTGTAGGAATTTGGATAGCTACCAGCTGGAATGAGCAAGGCTAAAATTGTACAAAAGCCAGGAAGGAGAGAATGGTGGGAGTAGGAACAGATAGTTGAGGAGGCCTAGCGGCAGAGGCCCTTAGAAAACATTAATGAAAATGCCTTTTCTGAAGATGAGGAGCCTAACCTAAAAGGCCATGTCCTTTTTTTGAAGTGATTCCCATAGGATCTGAGGGAAGCAGGATATAATCACACCAAGAAGCCTTATTTACAGGAACTAGTCTGTATCTGTTGCAACAGAGGAGGAGAGCTGCTGGTTTGTATAGCTACCCTGAGCCTGTTCTTCCTAAAAATTCTTGTAAATAGCTGTACCAGGAAATCCATGCTGAATAGTAGAAATGAATAATGGAAGTGATGCATAATAGAAAATTTATTAACTCAGCATTGATAAAAGATACCATGAGAATGAAGTTGGAAAAGAACAGCAAAACTTATTAGTAGATGATTAATAATCATTGTGGAACAGATGAATGTGGTGATCAGATATTTTGCTGTAAAATAAGAAACTTTAAACAGTAATCTCAGACATCTAAATTTACTGACATTTAGGATGTTTGCATCTATGTTCATAAGAGAAGTAGACCTGTAAGTCTTTTTGTCAAAGTTTTTGCTGCTCTCCAAACACTATTTGGAAAGTTGTTTCTTTGTTTTCTGTTCTCTGAAAGAGTTTGTGTAATATTGATGCTAGTTTTTCCTTATGTGTCTACAAAAATTAAAAGTTAAAGGCAGCTGAGCCAGGAGGTTTCTTTGTTGGAAGAAAAATATTTTTTAAAATAAATATGGCTATTATGAATTTATATTCTGGTATCTCTTTGTTGTGTTTTCTAAGGACATTGCCCATTTTGTCTTACCAAATTTATTGGCATAAAATTTCTTTATAATATCTTCTTTTCTGTCTCATATTTGTGTATTTTTCATTATTCCTTCATAATTTGTGTTCTCTTTTTTCCTTTTTTTTTTTTTTAAAGAGACGGGGATCTCACTATGTTGACCAGGCTGGCCATGAACTCCTGGCCACAGGTGATTCTCCTGTTTTCACCTCCCAAAGTGTTGGGTTTATAGGCATGAGCCACCACACCCAGCCATCTTTTCAAGTACCGTTTTTTGACTTTGTGGATTTAACACATAATTCTTTATTTTAAAAATACAGACATAATAGGAATAGTTGAGTATCTCAATAATATTACAAAATAAATCTCTGTAGCATGTGAGCCAGCATCATGTATAGTGGAAAGACACTGGAGGCAGTCCCATTAAAATCAAGGAGAAGACTAAACTGTAACCAATATAGTAAGTGCCAGCTGATACAGTTAGATAAGAAGAAGAAATTAGATGCATAGATGTATTAGTCCTTTTTCCTACTGCTGTTAAGAAATACCAGAGACTGGATAATTTATAAAGAAAAAGAGGTTTAATGGACTCGTAGTTCCATGTGGCTGGGGAGGCTTCACATCATGGTGAAAGGTGAAGAAGGAACAAATGCACATCTTACATGGTGGAAGACAAGAGCACGTGTGCAGGGGAACTGCCATTTTTAAATAAAAACTATCAGATCTTGCGAGACTTACTATCACGAGAAGAGCACAGGAAAAACCTGCCCTCATGTTCAGTTACCTACCAACGGGTCCCTCCCACATATGGGGATTATTAGAACTACAATTCAAGGTGAGATTTGTATGGGGACACAGCCAAACCATATCATTCTGTCCCTGGCTACTTCCAAATTTCATGTCCTCACATTTCAAAACCAATTATGCCTTCCCAGCAGTCCCCCAAAGTCTTAACTCATTTCAGCATTAACTCTAAAGTCCACAGTCCAAAGTCTCATCTGAAACAGGGCAGGTCCCTTCTGCATATGAGCCTCTAAAACAAAAAACAAATTAGTTACTTCCTGGATACAATAGGGTTACAGGCATTGGGTGAATACATTCATTCTAAATGGGAGGAATTGGCCAAAACAAAGGGGCTACAGGCTCCATGAAAGTCTGAAATCCAATAGGGCAGTCATTAAACCTTAAAGCTCCAAATGATTCCCTTTGACTCCATGTCTCACATCCAGGTCATTCTGGTGCAAAAGGTGGGCTCTCATGGCCTTGGGCAGCTCTGCCCCTGTGGCTTTGCAGGGTACAGCCCTTTCCCCGTGGCTGCTTTCTTGGGCTGACATTGAGTGTCTTCAGCTTTTCCAGGTACACAGTACAAGCTGTCCATGGATCTACAATTCTGGGATCTGGAGGTTGGTGGCCCTCTTCTCACAGCTCCACTAGGCAGTGCCCCAATAAGGGACTCTGTTTGGGGACTCCAGTCCCACATTTTTCTTCTCCAGTGCCCTAGTAGAGGTTCTCCATGAGAGCCCCACCCCTGCAGCAAACTTTTTCCTGGACATCCAGATGTTCCATACATCTTCTGATATCTAGGCAGAGGTTCCCAAACCTCAACTCTTGACTTCTGTGCACCTGCAGGCTCAACACCATGTGGGAGCTGCCAAGGCTTGGGGCTTGCCCCTCCGAAACCATGGCCCAGCTTGTACATTGGTCCCTTTTAGGCACTCCTGGAGCAGCTGGGATGCTGGGCTCCAAGTCCCTAGGCTGTACACAGCAGACGACCCTGGACCTGGCCCAAAAAACCATTTTTCCTTCCTAGGCCTTGGCACCTGTGATGGGAGGGGCTGCCATGAAGCTCTCTGATATGCCCTGGAGACATTTTTCTCATTTTTTTGGTGATTAACATTCTACTCCTTGTTACTTATGCACATTTCTGCAGCAGGCTTGAATTTTTTTCCCCAGAAAATGGCTTTTTCTTTTATATTACATCAGGCTGAAAATGTTCCAAACTTGTGTATTCTGCTTCCTCTTGAATACTTTGCTTCCCAGAAACTTCTTCCACCAGATAACCTAAATCATCTCTCAAGTTCAAAGCCAGAGATATCTATGGCAAGAGCAAAATGCTGCTAGTCTCTTTGCTAAAGCATAACAAGAGTCACCTTTGCTTCCGTTCCCAAGAAATTCTTTATTTCCATCTAAGACCACCTTAGCCTAGACTTTGTTGTCATATCACTACTGGCATTTTGGTCAAAGTCATTCAACAATTTTCCAGGAAGTTCCAAACTTCCCCACGTCTTCTTGTCTTCTAAGCCCTCCAGGTCTCTAGGAACTTCCAAACTTTCCCAAATTTTTCTGTCTTCTTCTGAGCCCTCCAAACTGTTTCAACCTCTGCTTGTTAACCAGTTCCAAAGTCACTTCTACATTTCTGGTTACTTTATAGCAGTACCCCACTCTACCAGTACCAATTTACTGTATTTTTTAAGTCAATTTTCATACTGCTGTGAAGAAATACCTGTGACTGGGCAATTTATAAAGAAATAGAGGTTTAATGGGCTCACAGTTTCACATGGCTTGGGAGGCTTCACAATCATGGTGGATGGTAAAATAGGATCAGAGGAATGTCTTACATGATGGCAGGCAAGAGTGTGTGTGCAGGGGAACTGCCCTTTGTAAAACCATCAGATCTCATGAGACTTATTCACTGTCATGAGAACAGCATGGGAAATACCTGCCTCCATGATTCAATTACCTCTCACTGAGTACCTCCCATAACACATGGGGATTATGGGAGCTACAATTCAAGATGAGATTTAGGTGGGGATACTGCCAAACTGTATCAATAGATATTTGAAATGACTAAGTAAAACCATTGTTATTAGAAGATAAGATATACCTGGAAAACTCAAGAGAATGAAGTGAGAAATTACTAAAAACAATAGGAATAAAAGGAAGTAATGCTGTAAGGTTACTATGCAAAAATTACTACGCTTCATATACTCAACAGACAGGCTCTTGAGACAACAATGAGGAAAGGACCTTCTGTAGAAGAACAACACAAAATATGAAATATTTAGGAATAAACTTTATAATAAAGATACAAGACTTCCACAAAGAAAAAAGAATACTACTGAAAGATGCAAATGAACTGTTTTTCAAATGGAAATAAATCTCATGTTTTTGTAGAGGTAGACTCAACCTAATAAAAATTTTAAGTTTGTCAGGTTGTTTATAAATGTGATTCTTACTTTTTAAAAATTTGACAAGTTGATTCAGAAGTTTATATGGAAAATTTTATATACATGAATAACTAGAAAAAGATTGAAAAAGCTTAATAAAATTGGATTACCCTATCAGGTATTAAAATATAAAGTCTCAATATTGAAAATACTGGTGCTAACACAGGATGATCAAAACCATGGAACAGAAGAGAAAGTTTAGTAATAGGCCCAAATTCAGAAGGGAATTTAGTATATGATAAAGGCATTATTTCAATTCTGTTGTGGGTGGGGGAAGAATCAAAGTATAGGACAACTGCATAGCCCTGTTACAAAAGAAAAAAGAAAATTTGATTCAATTTGTTACTCCACACAACAGAATAAATTCTACATGCATAAAATATTTTAAAAATTTTAATTGAAAGTGAAAGTTGTAGAAGTAAACATGGGAAAAATTTATTTTTCCTTGGTATGAGGTTGGGCCTGGCTTATGCAGATCCAGAGACCATAAAGGATCAGTAAATTAAACTGTAATTTAAAAATAATTATTCATATTACAAGATGACCCATAGATAAGATCAAAAGACAGATTGTTGGTGGGAGGGAGGGAATAGTTTCCTATAAAAAAAAAATACTAGAAATTTTTGCATAAAAGACCAATAACTCAACAAGTTGACCAGGAATATAAACAGTCCTCAGAAAAAGCAATACATTAAATGGTTCTTAACAATATAAAAAGGTGCTCACTGTCAATCATTATAAGAGAAAATCCAATTAAATCCACAGAGTGAGGACTATTTTTCATATTTCAAATCAGTTCAAATCTCAAATAATACTAGAGGATCTGTAGGAAAACAGGGAAGTACACTGTCTTAGTCTCTTTTCTGCTGCTATAATAGAAGACCACAAACTGGGTAATTTATAAAGAAGAGAAATGTATTTCTCACAGTTCTGGAGGCTGGGAAGTCCAGGACCATAGTGCTGGCATCTAGTGAGGGCCTTCTTGCTAAAAAATCTCATGAGAGCAGGCATGCGTGTGAGACAGAGAATATGGGGGCCAAACTTACTCTTTTATCAGGAGACCAACTACCACAATAACTAATCTGCTACTGGGATAATGCCATTAATCCATCATGAGGGTGGAACCATAATGACTTAATCACCTTTCACACATCCCACCTCATACTACTGTTATAATAGCAATTGCATTTTAACATGAGTTTTGGAGGGAACATTCAACCACAGCAACAGTATTAGTGGGAGAATAAATAGATGTAACACCTACAGAAGCCACTTTAGCAGTGTCTTTTGCAATGAGAATTGCATTAAGAAATTGAATATAAAATTGCAGTGCGGTTGCATAAAATTTCTCTTTAAAATTATAAATTTGGGAAGAATATCATTTAAGGACTCCTGATATGAGAATATTTAAAATGATATGGCATTTTCTGATGTTTTATTTCAATATACTAAAAAGATACTGTTTCTTGATTTACTTATAGCCAGAACCACCAAAGAAACCATCTAACTGGAGAAGAAAACATGAAGAATTCATTGCCACCATAAGAGCAGCTAAAGGCCTTGATCAGGCCCTCAAAGAGGGTGGCAAACTTCCTCCTCCTCCTCCACCTTCGTATGATCCTGGTATATGGAATATTGTTGACAGAAATATTCATGTGGAAAGAAAATAATGATAGGGTTTTTATAAATTTTAACTTGTTAAGCTTAACTTATAATCACGGAGTCTTATAAAGTATAATTTTTAAACGTTTTGGTATAAAACAGTGGTGGTAATCTAGGCATGTAGGCTTATAAGGACATTAATTTGGAACATAGAAGTGTATTGTGTTTTTATTTTAATACTTTTTTTTAAACACAAAGCATTATAATATTTAAAAAAATATTATAGTAACTATTAAATGTGAGCACTCCAGGAAATATTTTAGCCATGCTCACTGCAGATTAAAATGTAGTCATTGAATAGGAGTCATATAATTATGTTGCCTGGTTCCTTGATATCTTCTCGTGGGATTGGTGAAAAACTTATAATTTTTCTAAAATGTATAATTCATGTGGCTAGACTACATTTATGCCTGAAATTTGTATGTTGTTAATTTTTTTTTCATTGAGCAGATAAAAGTTGCTTGATTCATTGTTACCAAAAGCAAAGCAAGATTTTTGCAACCCTGTATGAGATACTGAAATACATAAAGACTTAAGGTGACAAAGTTGACACTTTTGACATTTGTTATTAGAGCAGCCTAAAGAGGTTGTTAATTTAACAGGTTAGCTGCGTTAATATTATGTTAGTACTCTAGATTGGGATTTATTTTCTAGCAAAGAGAAAGTTCTTTAGCAAATCTAGACATGATCATTTTTGGAATTTTATTATAGAAGAGAGATTAGCAAACTTTCTATAAAGGACTGCATAGTAAGCATCTTAGGTTTTGTATGCCATAAAGTTTCTGTTGCAACAAATAAGCCATAGACAATATATAAATGAATGAGCATAGCTGTGTTTCCATAAAACCTCATTTACAAAGAAAGGCAACAAGCAGACTGGATTTGGCTCATGGGTCATGCTTTTAGAAACCCAGTTCTAGAGTTTTAGTAATTAACTTATGTGAATGAATGTTTCTGGGATGCTTCAACTGATCCTGGGTCTTTTTTAATACTACCTTTATTTTCTTCACGAACTTGAGTTTTCTCTCTGCTTTGGAGGTATTTAGATATTGTGTCGTACTCTATATAGCGGCATTCCTCATGTCTAATATTTCTCGTTTCTCATGTCAGAGAGTGAGAGGGTACCAGTTCTTCAGGATCAGTTGGGCTGTAGAAGTTTTTTTTAATCTTGTGGGCCTGACAAAAACAACTTATTTCATTGTTATTAGAGGTTTTAGACCTATTCCAGTAGTAAGCACGACAAACTTCTGAGCTGCAGATGAATGTAAATTCTAAAGGGCAAACTCTCTGTCAAAAAGTAAACCGGTTAAAATAAATTAAGATTATTTTTTGATACTACTAAATTTTTACATTTATTCCCAGTGTCTCATTTAGTTATTTTACAGTGCTACAATATATGGTTCTGGGTTAATTTAGAAAGAAGTTTAATTTACAGTATGCTTTGCATTTTGGGAAGATATTTTATCTTGGAAACATTTGCTGTTTCTTAAATTTGAATTATGTCAGTTAGATATATTTTAATCACTTCTTCCATCTGTTGGGACTTTTAAGAGAAAATGCCACTTTAAAGATGAGTAAACGATTTCTTGAGAGTTTTCCATTAGATGAAATAAAAAAATTTTAATAGATGAGTTCATATTTTAAAATGTATTTTAATGTCATGTGTTATTACTTTCTAACTAGTCTGCTACATAAAATATCTGTTATAAATGAAAACATAGAGGCAAAGAAGAAATAACATTTTTTCTGTTTTTTTTTGTACTAAGGATTTATCTTTTGTTCTTTTTCCTTCACAAATTTGATTCAAAGCTAGGAAAAAATTGGGATTCATCATGTACTAGCAGACTTTTTTTTTTTTTTTTTGTCTTTACTAAGTTTAGACAAGTCAAGCTGGGTAGTTATAAGGATATGGGAGTTTTTTCTTATCAGACATTATTGCTTATATTTCTTGAATGACTGCATAGAAACTTATGATTTTTAATGTCTGTTTCAAGTACTATGCTGTTAATCTGTTTCTGTTTTTATCTGTTATAGATTATATTCAGTGTCCATATTGTCAGAGGAGATTTAATGAAAATGCAGCTGATAGACATATAAATTTCTGTAAAGAACAGGCAGCACGTATTAGTAATAAAGGCAAATATTCTACAGATACCAAAGGAAAACCAACATCTCGGACACAGGTGATAAGCTCACTTTTAATAATTGTTATGAATGAGAAACTGGCTCATTGATATTTATAGATTTTTGTTTATGCTTTTCATGACATTAGACTTTTTCTCGCCTGAGATATATATATATACGTTTTTAGATTATTTTATATATATATAAAATGTTTTATATGTGTGTGTGTGTGTGTGTGTGTGTGTGTGTGTGTGTGTATATATATATATATAAACATTTTTAGATTATATTCTTGGTCTTTTCTCAGATCTATATTAAGAATATTTTCTCCCATTCTGTGACTTGGCTTTTCATTTTCTTAAGGGTGTCTTTTGAAAAGCAAAAGTTTTAAAATTTGATTAAGTCCAATTTATTCTTTATGATTTATGTTCCCTATGTTGTATCAAAGAAATCTTTGCCTATACCAGGATTGCAAAGATTTTTCTCCCATGTCTTCTAGAAGTCTTATGCTTTTAGCTCTTATGTCTGTAAATAATTTCAGGCTAATATTTGTGTATATGTGAAGTAAGGGGTAGTTTTCCTTTTATTGTCTATGTGGATATTCTATTCTTTTAGTGTGATTTATTTAAAGGACTTTTCTTTCCCCAATGAATTGCCTACGCATCTTGGATGAAAATCAGTTGAATATAAATGTGTGGATTTATTTCAGGACATGATATTCTGTTCCATTGATTTATATCCCTGTCCTTTAGTCAATACTGCATTATCAGTATACTTAATAGTGTACCTTAATAAGTCTTGGTCGGGCGTGGTGGCTCACACCTGTAATCCCAGCATTTTGGGAGGCAGAGGCGGGTGGATCACAAGGTCAAGAGATCAAGACCATCCTGGTCAACATGGAGAAAACCCCATCTCTACTAAAAAAAAAAAAAAAAATACAAAAAAAAAAATTAGCTGGGCATGGTGGCACATGCCTGTAATCCCAGCTACTCAGGAGGCTGAGGCAGGAGAATTGCCTGAACCCAGGAGGCGGAGGTTGCGGTGAGCCGAGATCGCGCCATTGCACTCCAGCCTGGGTAACAAGAGAGAAACTCCGTCTCAAAAAAAAAAAGTCTTAAAATCAAGTTGTCTAAATTTTTCTACTTGAATTCCTTTTAAAATTTGCTTTGGCTATTCTTGATTTACATTTACATATACATTTTATAATTGACTTGTCATCTACAAAAAATGACTTCTAGTATTTGACTGAGATATTTATTTATTTATGAGACAGAGTGAGACTCTTCTCACTCTGTCGCCTGGACTTGTGTGATCTCGGCCCATTGCAACCTCCACCTCCCAGGTTCAAGTGATTCTTCTGCCTCAGCCTCCTGAGTAGCTGGGATTACAGGCACATGCCACCATGTGCAGCTAAGTTTTTGTATTTTTATTAGAGACAGGGTTTCACCATTTTGGCCAGGCTGGTCTTGAACTCCTGACCTTGTGATTCACCCTTCTCAGCCTCCCAAAGTGCTGGGATTATAGGTGTGAGCCACCAAGCCTGGCCTTTGACTAAGATTATATTAAATTCATAAATCAATTTGGGGAGATTGACATTGTAACAATATTGAATTGTTCACTTCATGAACTTGTTATATTTTCTGATCATTTAGGTTTTCTTTATCAGTGTTTTGTAGTTTACATTATATAGGTCATACACATATTTTGTTAGATTTTTCTAAGTATATCATGTATTTGGATGATCTTATAAATGGAATTTTATTTTATTTCATTTTTAGTTGTTTTTCGCTTGTTTAGAAAAACTGAGGATTTTTGTATATTAATCTCATACCTTGCTATTTTGTTAAATTCATTTACTAATAATAGTCTTGTAGATTTCTTAGGACTTTTCTATGTATACTGTCATGTTAACTGTAAATAAGGACAGTTTTATTTTCTTCCCTCCAACATTTTTGGATTTTATTTCTTTTTTGTGATTTACTACACAGGCTAGACTAATGTTGAATAGAGGTGATGAGAGTGGACCTCCTTGCTTTGTTTTTCTTTTCTTAGGTGAAAAGCATTGTTTTTTATCATTGTGTATGATGTTCCATCAGTTATTGAGGGAAAAATGTTAAAATTATGACCTTTTTACATTTCTCTTTAGTTTTGCCAGCTTTTGATTCAAAATTTTGAATTTCTCTTATTGTTTGCATATGTGTTTATGAATTGTTATGTCTTCCCCATTTATTGACCCTTTTATCATTATGAAGTGTTCCTTTTTGTCTGTGACAATATTCTTCATGTTGCAATTTCATGTGATAAGAATATAGCCATTTTAGCATAATTATGCTCCCTTCTTTTCTTTCTGTTCTTTAACTTATATTTGTGTTTTTGCATTGCTATAATTGGTTCTTGTATTTCTTTTTTAAAAATTGAATCTAGTAACTTAATCTTGTCGGTTGAAATGCTTGTCACTTACATTTGATACAGTTATTATTGATTTGGTTATGTTTAGGTCTGTAATCTGTTTTCTCTTTGTGTAAAAAATTCATTGCTGCTCATTTCTCAGCAGTGCTAGTGGCTTTGTGGTTTGGTCCTCGGACTGGCAGTTGCCACTGGTGCTGAGCTACTAGTAAGCCCTATTGGTCAGCTCGTTGGAGCTTAAACTCATTATCACCTCTCCAACTCACTGGCAAAAAAAAAAAAAAAAAAAAAAAATGATTGAAGCGGATCACCCAGGAAAGCGCTTCATTGGTGGGCTTAATATGGAAACAAATGAGAAAGCTCTTGAAGCAGTCTTTGGCTAATATAAACGAATAGTGAAGTCCTCTCGATGAAAGACCGTAAAACCAACAAATGAAGAGGATTTGCTTTTGTCACTTTTGAAAACCCAGAAGACGCTAAGGATGCAGCCAGAGACATGAATGTAAAGTCATTAGATGGAAAAGCCATCAAGATGGAACAAGCCACCAAACCATCATTTGAAAGTGGTAGATGTGGATTGCCTCCACCTCCAAGAAGTAGAAGCCCTCCAAGAGGTCTTAGAAGTGGAAGTGGAGGAGCCACAGGACCTCCAACATGGGGGAGGACACATGGATGATGGTGGCAATTCCATGAATTTTAATAAGAGTTCTTCCAGAGGACGACTCCCAGTAAAAAGAGGACCACCACCAAGAAGTAGAGGTCCTCCTCCTAAGAGATCTACACCTTCAGGACCAGTTCACAGCAGTGGTGGAATGGGAGGAAGAGCTGCTGTATCATGTGGAAGAGATAGTTACAGAGGTCCACCTTGAAGGGAACCGCTGCCCTCTCATAGAGATGTTTATTTGTCCCCAAGAGATGATGGGTATTCTACTATAGAAAGCTATTCAAGCAGAGATTACCCAAGCTCTCCTGATACAACAGATTATGTACCACCACCACGAGATTATACTTACCGTGATTATAGTCATTCCAGTTTATGTGGTGACTATCCATCAAGAGGCTATAGAGATAGAGATGGTTATGGTCATGATCATGACTATTCAGAACACCCAAGTGGAGGTTCCTAGAGAGATTCACATGAGAGTTACCTTAATTCACATAGTGCTCCACCTATAGGAAGACCCATGCCATCTTATGGTGGAAGCAGTCACTATGATGATTTTAGTAGCTCACGTGACACATATGGTAGAAGTCAGGACAGTTAAGCAGCTGAAGTGATCTCTACTCAAATGGTCATGGTTGGGTTGGCACACAAGAAAAAGAGGGCTTCCCTCTTCTATGAAAAAGGGAGTACCCTCCTCCCTGTGATTCCTACAGTAGTTCAAGCCATGGAGCACCAAGAGGTGGTGGCCCTGGAGGAAGCCAGTCTGATAGAAGGGGAGGCAGAAACAGATACTAGAAACAAACAAAACTCTGGACCAAATCCCAGTTCAAAGAAACAAAAAGTTTAAACTATTCTGTCATAACTACCCAAGGACTACTAAAAGGAAAAATTGTGTTACCTTTTTTTTTTTTTTTTTTTGACTGAGTCTCGCACTGTCACCCAGGCTAGAATGCAGTGGCACAATCTCAGCTTACTGCAACCTCGTCCTTATGGTTTCAAGCTATTCTCCTGCCTCAGCCACCCAAGTAACTGGGATTACAGGTGCCCATCACCATGCCCAGCTAATTTTTTTTTGTATTTTTGTTAGAGACGAGGCTTCATCATCTTGCCCAGGCTGGTATTGAACTCCTGACTTCGTGATCCACCTGCCTTGTGATCAAAGTGCTAGGATTGCAGGTGTGAGCCACCTCACCCGGCCTGTGTTACCTTTTTTTAAATAAGTTCCCCTCTGTAATTTTTATGTTCTTGTGAGGAAAAAAGTAAAACATGTTTAATTTTATTTGGCTTTATGACATTGCTTTTCAACAAGCAAATGTTAAATGTGTTGAGACTTGTTGTACTAGTGTTGTAACTTTCCAAGTAAAAGTGTCCCTGAAGGCCACTTCCTATCTGATTTTTCCCAGTAAATGAGGCAAGCGATTCCAAGATCTTTCACAAAACATCTAGCCATCTAAAATAGAGAGATGAATCATTCTGCCTATACAAACAAACTCGCTATTAGATGGGGGTTGGGGTATGCTACTCATAAAATTTCAGGGTGTCTTCCAGTCGAAATCTCAATGTTCTCATTATGAAAAACCTGAAATCAGATGCCTATGTAAGGAAAGTGCCTTTCACCCAGTAAACTCAAAAAAGCAAATGGATAATGCTGGTCATTTTGCCTTTCTGACATTTTCTTGGGAGTCAGCAAGAAAGAATCCCCTTTCCCCTCTCCCAATAGGACCATTTAAGTGTGTGTTAAACAACTACAGAACACTAAATAAAAAGTTTGGCCAAAAACAAGCATGAAGCTGCAAAGGTGCTTGCTCTTACTGTTTGAAATTTTTGCAACTCAGTAGTGTCTCACTTTCAAAGGAACAGCTTGATTGCAAAGAAGAAAATAAGTAAGCGATGAAGTTATCTCCAACTTCCTAAAGGCTTATGACATATTGAAAGTAAATCTATCAGCATTCATCAGATTTAAAACATCAAATGCCTGTGAAACAGCAAAGATGGTAAGCAAAGCAAACTAGTTTTTCCATCTAAATAGAAATTGAACACTTCCTTCCTCATAGTACAGTGAAACATACTATACCTCATAGCAATGGAAATGCCTTCTAGATTAAAAAAAAAACAACAACAACTACTTTTGGAAAAAACAAATATTCAACAGCATATTAGAAGACCTCCAAATTCAACACTTAGATTTTTTTTTTTTTTTAAGCATGTGCGACACCTGAAGGCTTTAATAATAGAGCTGTTATTTACCAGTAGAGATCTGGGGCTTGGGAGAGGGTATTTTTTCAAAGTCCATTTTTGATGAAGACCTTTAAACATGCTTCATATGTTTTAACATTTTTTTTTCAAATCAGTCCTTTAGTCAGCATAGGAAATGGCTTAAGTTTGTGTTCCCTCTTTTTCCTCTGTAAACCATTGTAAGCTTGACATTTAATAGGATGCCTGACTTATTTTTAGTCTATGAAACTACACTGTATGGAGAAAATCTTTTGTAAGTGGTCTTTAAAAAGCAAAACCTGAGGCAGCATGACCCAGGTCCAGCTATGAAGTTGAAAAAGATGCTCTTGAATATAGTAAACTTGAAGACCTCCAACTAAAAATCTTTATATTGCACTTATTCCTTCAAATAAGTTTTGTTGGTTTAACTTATGGATTTAATGTGGCAGTGCACCATTGGAACAGAATGATAATCCATAAGCCATGCAACTTAACCGTTTAAGCCATTCCAGTTCATCCCAAGCCAGTGAATCTTCCACCACTTAAAAGAAGTACTAGAACATAAAATATATTAAGCTGCAAGTCTGAACTTGCCTTTTCTTTCTGGAAAAGAGGATAGTAATAAGCAAGTTTTAAAGAATTTCCTTAAGAGAGATAACTAGTCTTCATTTGTTTAACTTTTGCAGATTGAGAAATATGCTCATTATGGTGGTGAAGCACTGATTTATTCAGTTTTAGAGAAATGTAATACCTAAGTTTTTGTAAGCCATTAAGTTGTTAATTTCTATTAGGTATATAAAAATCTTTAGTCTTCAGTATGTAATGGTACCAGGAACCCTTCTGCTATGTCCTGCCTGAAGACTTGACCTCTCAATGTGTAATAGGCCACATCAGCATACTTTGTTTATGCTAACCCTTTTGCTCCTTTTTGATTGCTTTCATAATTTTAGTGGATCAGCAGTCCTGTTTCCTAATCTAATTTTATTAATTGTGTTTTTATATACATACCTCTGATAGTTTGACAAATCTTTGTTAGATCTTATTTTCCCTGTTGCTATAATTTTAAGAGTCTTTTAAAATGTCTTTATTTATTTATTTTTAGTGGCCCAGATGTCCTTTTAAACCAGAAGCATCTCTAATGTTTTAAAAAAATCAGTATCATTATATGTTTTATCTCCTGAAGTCTCATAGACATTTGTTAATTTGAAAGACGTTTACTGAAGGTTTTGATTTTCTATTTTGCAGGTGCTGGTATAGTTGTGCAAAATATGCATGCTACTTTTTTGTGTGTGACCCTTTATCAAGGTTTAATTTTTTTTTTAATTCACATACTGAGTTAGTTATAATGTTTGATTTCAAAATTGGTTTTAGTCTGCTGTTTTTGGTAGTAGTGCATCTTAAATTTTATATTGATTATTGGTTATAAAATATGATTTTCATTTTGAAAATGATATTTAAAATTAATTTTCACATGAAATCTTGATAACTTATTGTGCTAAATTCCAAGCACATATGCAAGTATGATTTTCACCTTATGGTTGAAGCACTGGGCTAGAACCAGCATGAGTGTTAAATTCCTGCTCTGTTGTGAAATTGGGGCCTAACTCTGGGCAAGTTCATTTTGTTCTGTTGAAGCAGGTGATTTATGAGATACTTTTATACAGGGAAATGAGCAAAATTTGACTCAAAAAGAGAAAATAAAATTAATAATGACGTCTCTTTAGAGAGAGTAGAGAAATTTAAAAATCCAAGATAAACTGAAATATCCACTCTTATGTCAATCCATACTCCATTAATTTAAGATGGTCTGGTGAGAATAGAGAGGCCATAATTAGCTCTTTCTCTTCATGTCAGGGAAATCCGTAAGGCAGCTCTTATAAAACTTGTCCAAGTAGAGGGTAATATTGTGAATTTTTATCAATAGGAAATATGACTGAATTAATGTATATGGAATATAAAACCACATCCAGGAACGTGTAAAAATCTTGACCTTTAAAACTGCATCACCAAGTGAGCTTCACTAGTGTTTCTAAGGTTTTCTACTAATGTTTGTTTGGCGTTTAAAATCGTAACTTGAGGAAGTATTTTGCATCAGACCTTTTTTCTATTTCCTGTGAACTGGAAAATTTGCTCTTAGTTTGTTTTAGCAGTAGAACATCTGAGAGGGAGTCTGTTTTGGGAAACCTTTGAGGTGACATATTTTAATCTCTACTTCCTCAATTTGTGTAATTCAGTAGCTAATAAAAAGACTGTTCATTTAAGGGAATGAGAGCTGTTTCTTTCCTTTTTTTTTTTTTTAGTGTGGTATAATACATGTAACATAAACTTTACCATCTTTGCCATTTTTAAGTGTACAATTCAGTATATACTTACAAGTGTATTAATGATGTACAACCATCATCACCATTCATCTCCATAGTTCTTTTCATCTTGTAAGACTGAAATTCTAAACCCAAAGAATCTTAACTTTTGAACCACTACTTTACAATTCATAATCAAAAAGTGATGCTGACTTAAAAAAATTTTTTTTCATTATTTTAGTATAAGCCACCTGCACTTAAAAAGTCAAATTCTCCTGGAACTGCATCATCAGGATCTTCACGATTACCGCAGCCAAGTGGCACTAGCAAAAGTGTTGTAGGTAATGACAGCCATAAAGTAAATTGATTTGTTTTTAAACCATGTTGGTAGAGAAGGAAATAAGGATATTGGTCTATTCTGGAGTATTAGGATAGATTTCTAATTAAGAAGAGATATAGAGGATAAGTAATTATTTATAAAAATAAAATAACTTTCAGTAGTTTCTACTTTTAACTTTTTTTTTTTTTTTTTTTGAGTTGGAGTCTCGCTTTGTCTCCCAGGCTGGAGTGCAGTAGCATGATCTCAGCTCTCTGCAACCTCCCGCTCCCGGGTTCAAGTGAGTCTCGTGCCTCAGCCTCCCAAGTAGCTGTGACTATAGGCATATGCCACCACGCCCAGCTAATTTTTTGTATTTTAGTAGAGATGGGATTTCACTGTGTTGGCCAGGATGGTCTAGATCTCCTAACCTCATGATCTGCCCACCTCAGCCTCCCAAAGTGCTGGGATTACTGGCATGAGCCACTGTGCCTGGCCACGTTTTTGTTGTTTTTAGCTTAAATGTTTGTCCCTGATGTTGTTACTGATATGTCATCTATTCAGAATAGTCAGATAAGTTCTTTCTTGATTCTTTGATCTGGTATTTTCCTCTCATTTTATGCTAGCTCTTCATAGCTTTCTGAACTTTGCTATTGTTCTTAGCAGACAAATACTTAAGAGTTAGAAGAAGATATTGACCACTGACATGTACCTTTGTTTATATATAAATTGTAAGAAAGAAATTTAGAAATTAGAAATCAAGGATGCTATATGTTGTTTCTTGGAAATATCGGTTAAAAAATGTCTTTAATGGTGATTTATAGTTACAAAGATTATTACTAAAGCATTGTTTTCTTTGCTAGATGCTCTGTTTTATGTAACTTTTTTTGAGTATTGTTAAAAGTAATGCTTTTTTTTAATTATAAGGTATGCCTTCAGGTAAAGTGTCTTCAAATACCAGCTCTTTGGGAAACAAACTTCAGACCTTATCTCCCTCTCATAAAGGGATAGCAGCCCCTCATGCAGGGTAAGTCTACATTGGATATAATTTATTATTGGTGTGTAGTTAAATGATATTAAGGTTTTATTATGCTTTGATAATTGGCTTTTCGTTAATCTTCATTTTCTAAGTTCATTTGTCTTTTAACATTTTGCTGGTCAGGAGCACACTCATTGCTGTTGAGTATCTAAATTTGCATAACCATTTTAGAACCTAATCTGGTATTTATTAAAAGCCTTAGAAATCATAGTTTAAATTGAATAATTTTACTTCTGGGAATTTAGTCTAAGGAAATTTGAAATATTGAAGATTTTTTATTTCTATATTTTATATTAACTGTAATTTACTAACTACCATGTGTCAGGCCCTGTGCTAGACATTTTGCATATATTTTTGTTAAAACCACTTCATAATCATAGAATAAGAAGATCAGAGAAGCTGTTTACTCAAAGCCACATAGCTGTTAAAAGCTAGAAGCAAGTTTGATTGTAAACATTAGATTCTTTTTACATTTTTTTATAAAAACATTAAAAATAAATAAAATCTCCATGTGTACCTAAGCAGCTGCTTTGCCAAGACTCCCCATGTCTGTGTGTCAAATTGAAGGCCCCAGTGGAGTAGGTTTACGAGGGCATCTCCTGACCCAAGGGTTGCAAGTCACACGTTCGCCCACAGCTTCCCTGGGCCAGGCAGGTTCCCTTGGCTCTGTGTTGCTCCCAGGTGGGCTGTTGTCCTGCCTTTCTTTTCTTTGTTTTTTGTGGATCAAGTTGTTTCCTTGATTAGTCCCAATGCAGGTAAATGGATGTTTCAGTTGAAGGTGCTGTATTTACTTGCCTCTTTTCATATTATTTTCAAGTTTAAGTTATCTGTGGCTCACGTTCATTTTGGCTTTTATGTAGGAAGTACATGCAAAGATATCTGTCAAATGATGGTAACTACCTTTTGCTTCTAAATTCAGATTACGTAGAAAGTGGAAAACCTAAATGAAATGTAATGTAATTATCATTATAGAAAAGGAAAAAACAATCAACCAACAATATCTTATGAGTTAAGTGATTTTTCTTATCGCTGTGCTTCCAAAAAGAGAGGCTATCCATAAGAAAGAGACAGGTTATCAGTAGATCAGGTAGTTGAAAAGTAAAATATTCTCATCTTTTAGCTGATTTGATTTATTTTCTTCTCCAATGAATTGACTCATTGGATGGTTAAGTGAAATGTAGACATAGCAATATGTGCTTTAATTTTACAAAATCATTTTACCATATCACAGAGAATTGCCCTCCATGTCAGGTAATAATGTTTGTTCATAGTGTTGTTTATAGTTTCATTTACAGTTGATCATGGATTAAAAGCTGATATTTTTCAGTACTTCTGTATACTAGCAGTTTTATCAGTTGGCAATATTAAATTGTACTGACACAGTATTCCTAGATAGGACATGTAAAACTGGCTGATATAATGAAGAGAGGCACTGACCTTGGAGTTAGGAGACTAAGTTTCTGCATCATACTCTGCCACTAAATAGCTTTGGGCATATATCTCTCTGTCTGCCTCTGATAATATCTATGACTCTGCTTAGACCTTGCAACTGATCCAAGAAAATCTGACCAACATACCTGGTTACTAATGGAAAATATGCTTTTGCTAACAAGCAGAGATTTTGAGTACAGTAATTTTGTGAGTTGTACATTACTTATAATGCCATGAAGAATACATACTTTTGGTTGTCCCACATCATATATAACTGTCAATTATATCTGTTCAAATTCTGATTGTCCATTCTGTATAAGATACTTACAGATTAAAAAAAGGTTTCCAACTACTGGAAAGAGAGTGGTGGAGCTCATTTCTACTAATATATTACTATATTAACTGGAACATTACAGTGTTACTATATTAAATTAGAATCATTCAATGTTACTATATTAAATTAGCTGTCTGTTTGGTGGCTGAGTTCCTTTTTCTTTCTTTCTTTTTTTTTTTTTTTTTTTTTTAAGAATTATCGAGTAATGATTTGTTTCTCTTGCTAGATTGTAAGCTCCATGATGACAAATACTATGTCTGCCTTGCTTCCATTTGTAACTGTAAAATCTAGCAGAATGCCTAGGCTAAAAAAAATTTTTTGGTGAATAAATGAAAAAAGGTAATTAATAAATTAATTCCCTCATTGTTAATCTATTGGCACATCATGGAATTATTGTCCTGTTACAAGTTAAAGAATTGTTTGAAGTTTGTATAACAACTTTTTATTTTGATTTGTAGGAATGATTCAGGATTGGGTAAAGGTTGAATTAAAACATTTGATCAGGTGTAATGCTCAATAAATCGAGTATTTGCTGAGATTAGTAAATGCCATTATTTCAGTGGATTGCAATTGTTTAAAGTCTGGTGTATGTAATCTTTATTGTAGTCCATTTTAATCAGGCATACCAACAATCTGTAATAGAATTGTGCCACAAAGAAATTTATTTTTACATTTGGAAAAATTCTCATATGTTTGATTGTTTACTTCTAGTTTGTGTATTAGGCCAGGCGCAGTGGCTCACACCTGTAATACCAAAACTGTCGGAGGGCGGGGTGGGAGAGTCACTTGAGCCCAGGAGTTTGAGACCTGCCTGGGCAACATAGCAGTACCTCACTCATGTCCATTAAAGATAAAATAAAATCCCGAGGTCAGGAGTTTGAGACAAGCCTGACCAATATGGTGAGACCTTGTCTCCACTAAAAGTACAAAAATTAGCTGGGGGTGGTGGTGGGACCTTGTAATCCCAGCTACTCATGAGTCTGAGGCAGGAAAATCACTTGAACCTGCGAAGTGGAGGTTGCAGTGAGCCGAGATCACACCATTGTACTCCAGCCTGAGCAACAGAGGGAGTCTCCCTCTCAAAAAACAAACACCTTTTTAAACCTTTTTTAAAATATAAAAAAGCAAATCAATAAATTTGTAGGTCAATTTTAACAGATTTGTTTAAAAAAAAATACAAGTGGAAAGTTTTTCCTTTGTTCTAAATGATCATTCTCTTTTTTTTTTTTTTGGGATGGAATTTCACTCTTGTTGCCCAGGCTGGAGTACCGTGGTGTGATCTTGGCTCCCTGCAGCCTCAGCCTCCTGGGTTCAAGTGATTCTCCTGCCTCAGCCTCTCCAGTAGCTGGGATTACAGGCATGTGCCACTACATCTGGCAACTTTTTTATTTTTGGTAGAGACGAGGTTTCACCATGTTAGTCAGGCTGGTCTCAAACTCCTGACCTCAAGTGATCTACCTGCCTCGGCCTCCCAAAGTGCTGGGATTACAGATGTGAGCCACTGTGTTGGCCAAAAGATGATTATCTTTAATCCTAGGAAATTTTAAAAGTATAGTAAAACACAGATCTTTTAAATAAATATTGCCCCATTTCAATTGTGTCATGGAGTTGACACAGTTATATCTTGGGAACTCTGTTTTCTTAATGATTTATTACCAGTTTAAATGACTATTTCAGCTAATAATTTTCAGTAGCTAAACAACCAAATTTCAGAGATTTACCTCCTTTTAGTTACTATGAAAAACACATTTACTTTAGAGATCAACTGTAATACACATAAAATTAGAGCAACCAAATGTATGTACAGAGCATGTTTTAATTAAAAAATTATATTTTCTTTCTCATACCTTATTAAAAACATTAAGAAGTAAATATCTTTAGCACTGGAGTACATTTTTGTATGAGTAGGAAACATGCTATTTTCATAATCCAGTTTTTTGGTGTGTGTATTAAATTTGCGTGGAGCTTTATGTAAATTTTTATCAAATTTTATTGTTGATTTAGAAATGCTTGTACTAACCTAGAATTCCAGAGCTTGGCTTATTTGGGTAACAATAGTTGAAGATTTTGGGTAGGAAGCTAACTTTGCTATGGAATTGAGATACTAATTAGTAGTGTAAGATTGATGAATTTAGGATCAAAAGTAGAGGTATGACACATTTCAAAACTTTGCCTTAGAGAAGTGGGTGTTCAATCTTTTGGGCCACATTGAAAGAATAATTGTCTTGGGCCACGTGTAAAATACACAAACACTAATGATAGCTGATGAGCTAAAAAAAAATATGCAAAAAAATTTCATCACCTTTTAAGAAAGTTTACAAATTTGTTCTGGGCTGCATTCAGAGCCAGCTTGGGTGGCATGTGGCTTGCTAGCTGCAGGTTAAAAAAGATTGCCTTATGGCATTATAACTAAAGAGGTATACAAAGGTGCAAAATACCATCTGCTAAATTCTTTTCCCAATATTTTTTCAGAAATCATATTTTTCTTATATCTCAATCTATAGTGCTTGCTACAGTTCTACAAGGTACCTATTAAGCCAGACTAAAATTACTTATTTCCTAAGTGAATTCACTCTCCTGGTATCAACAGTAAACGACTTTTCCTATGTTAAAGTTTATTTCAAATCAGGAATAGGTTGATATCGTCACCATACTCATTCAGCTATGAGTGTTTTGTAAGCCTGCAAATGTGTTTTATGTATAAAATCTTGATTATTGGAATTTATAGATTTTTTTTGATAGATAGCTTAATGGCAACTTAGAATATAAATTATGAAGTGATTTTAGTTTAAAAAATAGCATTCATTTTCAAAATCGGAAAATATTGGCAATCTTTTTATATATGTAATATTTCCATTAGATAATTACCTTTAGATTTTTATTAGATTTTACACATCTTTCTTCAATTGAACTTTGTTGTATCACATGTAGGATTTAACCATTTCTTTTTCTTTCTTTCTTTTTTTTTTTGAGAAGGAGTATCTCTCTGTCACCCAGGCTGGAGTGCAGTGGCACAATCTTCACTTACTGCAACCTCCGCCTCCCGGGTTTAAGCAGTTCTCTGCCTCAGCCTCCCGAGTAGCTGGGATTACAGGTGTGTGCCACCATGTCCAGCTAATTTTTGTATTTTTAGTAGAGATGGGTTTTCACCATCTTGGCTAGGCTGGTATTGAACTCCTGACCTTGTGATCCACCTGCGTCGGTCTCCCAAAGTGCAGGGATTACAGGCGTGAGCCACTGCACCAGGTGACCATTTCTTATATAAGAGGAATATGTTTTTAAAATATAGTTAAAAGTTTTCTAAATTTTAATTTCAGTAACTTTTTTCTGAGAAAGAAATCTTTTATTCCTTGTTTTCAGAATCACAGGTTCCTTTTCTAAGATAACCACTGTTTGGAACAAACATGTTTTGATAATTAAGGATTTAGAATAAAATCAGATTGTTTAATTAAAATTTCAATAGGTGGCTTTCTTAGTAATTTTTAACAAATTAAAAACATTTTAATTTAAAATATTTTAGAAATTATACTTAATATATTTATTTAATGAAGTCTGCTTTTAAGAACTTTAAATCCTCACATAAACACCACCACCTGCAAAGTATGAATGTCAATTTTTTCAACAAAATGCCTGCTGTGTATAAGCTACTGAAAGAAGACAAATATTAACAAAATGTGTCCCTCCTCTTAGATATCTGTAATCTAGAAAGATGAACACATTCCTTTCAGACACTAAACTGCCTAAGAATGAGCATCAGATCTATCTTATTTACCACCACATCCCCAGAATGTTCCACAGTGCCTGACATGTAGTAGATGACCAGGGTTTATAGTCAGTGTAAGTGAAGAAATGAGTGAGCAAACATCTCTTAAAAAGAATGGACTTTTAAAGTTAGCAAGCAGTGATGTGTTATTCAGTAGGCAAATAAGATAGTTTCCTAATTTCCTAACTCAATTTTCCCTGCTCCCTATTATGACTAGATGTTGATTGGTGATAATTCATATGATTCAGTTATTTGGTTGGCTGATTCCTGCAGTTTGTCCTGCTATCCTCTAGATGGAAATCCTTTATAATTTTGGTTAAATTGTGTGTTTGTGTGTGTGCGTGTGTGTGTGTGCATGTGTGTGTGTATGTGTGTTTAGATGGAATGGCCCCTTACCATTATTATATGTGATTTTTAGAATTGCCATCCTTGTTTTTTCCATGCAGAGTCCTGTTTTACTTTGGATAAATTTCAGAAATAAAGTCACTTTTTTCTTAGAAAGTCGGTGAGGTTAGAAAGTCAGATGAGGTAAATGTTATTTATTCAGTTCCTTATTTTTGGAATTTTAAAAAGCAAGCAAATAGATAATATGAAGATTAGAGAAAGTTTTTATGAATTCAGGGAGGAAGAAAAATTATTCGTGAATAACAACGTTCATTTCACTTACAGCTTCATGAATTTTTTTATTTTTACTTTTGAAATAGTTGTCCTTCCTAAGTTTCTTCATTGATTCCATTGCCCTGCTATGTGTAATTTGACATTTGTTTGGATGCGTAGGGTAGCCTGCATAGTCAGAATCTGCAGATCTAATAGTGCACATTTTATGAACTCACTCTGAGGATTCTTTTGAACATTAGTTCTTACCTTGACAGTCTGATAAAATTAAGGGCTTGGGGAGTAGATTTCTGACGAACCAGAATAATGCCTTAAAAAAAAAAGACTTTATAAAAGGAAACAAACAGTAGCAATCTCCTTATGGGTACACCTTTGTATATTTTAATAGTAATATGGACAAGTTAGGCCCTCCGCTTCGAACTGGAAGACATGTTCAAAGGTTGTATGACAGTGATACAAAATCAGACAGTGCCATCAAAAGACATGAGTTATTACCTATTTACAAGTAAGTATTTGTAACTCAGTTTGGTTTAATATTTTTCAGATATTTTCTTAAAAGCTTTATATAATGGAGTACTATACTATTACTGTCTTATACTTAAATCTGTTTAATAATTTCTAAGCCAAAATGTGGCAAATAATCCAGAATTTAAAACATTTTGAGATTATACATTTTATTCCATTAAATATTAATTTTTAGAGGTTTTAAATTGCAGTCACATTTAATAATTGTTTTTATTAAGTTTTTCTTTAGGAGTAATTAGGATTTTTTTATAGTTTTAAAAAGTAGAGTTTAAGAAAAATAATGTCTCATATAGTATATGATATTGTTAGATTATCTTTTAGATAAGCAAATGGTGAACTATTATAGAAAGCCAGGAGGAAAAAAAAAAGATTTTAGGGAACTTTCAATCCAAGGGTCCTTAATCTTTTCTTAAATGGTTGTAAATTCCACCTACAACCTGGAAAGAGTATGACACTGCTGAATAACTCTTCTCTCAGTTCTGGCCTGGCTGGCTGAAAAGAGTGTGGCAATGGCAGTTATTTTGAAACTCTACAGCATGAATCTTCAAGGTTTACTAATTTGGGTCTCAATTCTAGCCCTCATTTTAAATATGAAATTAAGGCCTAAAAATTAATTTACCTATTAATGGTGGAATATATATTATTAAACAGAGTAAGTTAGTTAACTTTTAAACCAACACCTACTACAACAGTCTGCTCACTATGTAGGTAGGAAAAGTAATAATAAACTTAACTAGATAAACAAAGATAGGAAAAGTCTTTGAGATACTAGCAGCAGCCATTTGTTATTTTTAAGTAGTTAATGTTAAATCCTAGCAGGAAGAGTTTATGCCATAAGCTGTTTTTCATTGTGTTGCTTCTACTGTCAGGACCCTCTGAAGCGGATCTCACAGTAACAGTGACTAGCAGTAAGATGGATTGAGTACAATTCCAAAATTAAACCTTCTTTAATTATTCATATGAGCTGTAGCAGGTAGATTCTAGATACACAGTAAGAGTAATGCTTTTCAGATTCTGAACAGGAGGAAAAATTTGTGGCCTGTGTAAGACTGGGGCAAGATGTTTTAAGTGATCAAGACAGATAGTTGTGCTTCCCAGTCTAAATGATTCTTGACATTCAGATTTCACCTCTTAAAAGATGTTACTAAAAATAAATGACAGGTATTTAATATTGGTAACTATTAATGATGATAATCTCTTATATTTTCCTCTAAATATAAGCATTTTGAACAACCTTAAGTTACTGATATGGTGACATTATGTGTATGTTCATGGGTGTGTTTGTATTGTATGTATAACTTATGCACTTAACCACCCACCCCCGCCCCCGCAAAAAAAGTATTCTTCCTATTTAAATACCATTCTTTGACAATGATTTCTTAGAGACTGAATTTCTAGAAAGGGACTCTAGTAGTTCTACAATAAAAAAAGGCTATACAAAAGAGTAGAGTACACCTCATGGCTGGACTTGGAGTGAGCATTTGAAGAGGTGCAGGGCATTCCATTCATGCACCGAGGTGATTCTTTTCTTGCTGAAGTTTAGAAGTAATTTAAAGAAGCAACCATGCAAAGCAACCACTTTGAATGACAGCATTGTATATTGAGTATGAGTTCTGTAATATATCCCACTTAAGTTCAAGTACTGCTCTGGCCACATAATAGCTTCACAATTTATATAATCTCTCTAAACAGACTTCAACTTTAAAATAGGCGTAATATCTTCTGAGATCTGGGGGACATTAAATAAGGTATGTGTAGTACCTGGCTTCATATTTGTCATGTAGTGGATCTTTGAAAGGTAGTGGATGTTGTTATTACCTGCATGTACTTTGGAAGCAGCTATTTACAATTTTAGGGTACTCTCCTACTTTGCCATATAAGTAGAGTAAGAAGAATTTCAACCAAAGTTTAAGAATCTCTAATCTGGAGGTATATTTTAAAGTATTCTTCTTGTTCATATAACATAACACTGCTTACCTATGAAATGTAAAGATTTGATTAAAGTTCTGTAGAAAGGGAGGGAATTATGCTTTAATGAACATCTAAATCCTAGCTTTTCAACATACTAGCAGTGTCACCTTGGGTAAGTAACTTAGGGGCTCTTTACCTCATATGTCTCATCTGTAGATGGAGTTATTAATCCTCCTATTTCATAGGATTATTGGGATAAATAAATTCCTATGGGCAAAATAATTAGAATTGTATTTGGCATGGAATAAGCACTATTATATAAATGTAAACTTGTAGTGGCAATAGCAGTAGTAATAGTATTATCATAAACTATCTAAATATTTATATGAATTGTACTTTTTATCTCATAACCTTTCTATAAGTTATCATTTTATAAATGACGAGACTCAGACTCGCTGTCACAAAGCTGTCAGTAGCATTGACATTTGCATCTAAATTCATCTGAATTCCCAAGCCTCTACTTTTAGTGTTATATCATCATTTAGCTTTCTAAACTCTCTTTGATTCTTAAAGTTTCAAAATGGAGAGTCAGAGATGATCCAACCAGAAGTCCCTCTGATTTTAGATTGCCCAGGGAATATTATATTAACTCATTTATTTTAGTTGCTGCTTTTAAGAACTTTCATAAAATGAATATTATCCTTTAATGTGACTACCAAAAGAAATTCTTTTTTAACCACAACATATATGCCTAGAATAATGATAAAATGTGTGTTTATTTAATAGTTATCTATAAGCATTTACCAGAATATATGTTTTTAGGGAAATAAAAATTTAAACTTTTTAAAAATGTGTCTTTCAGAATGATTACTTTAAAAATTTCATGTAAAGCATATATACATATTTAGTTGATTTTATTTACTGTGAGGATAGGGTTAGTAACTGCAAAGTTATTTGGCTTATCTTTAATATTAACTACTATCTGTTTTCAGATTTAAATTAATTATTGGGACTTTAGTCTTTTGAACTTCTCTGAAGCTTCTAAGCATTCTTTCTAATCATGTGAATATGTAATTTGAGAAATAGATGCTCACTGTTCAATACTTTTCTATTATTTTTTCTCTTTTTTTAGAGCTAATGTCAAACCTCGAAATTCCACACCACCTAGTTTGGCAAGAAATCCGGCCCCAGGTGTGCTTACAAACAAAAGAAAAACATATACTGAGAGCTACATAGCCAGGTATGTTTAACTCTGCTATCATAATAACTAAAATAAAAATGAGTATAGGATAGTTTTCCAAGGACCATATACAAACTAAGTAACAAACTATTTATAGAAAGCCTGATTTTTTTCTTTTAATCGAGCTTTTATGTTGTACACTATTAATGGATTTGGGCAAAGTAATCTGAAAACCTTCTGTAAAGGTTTAGCCCATTCTACATGCCACTAAGAACGTATGTGATTTATGGGAAGACGTCAAAATGAGTTTGGAAGAAGTTGTTTCGAAACTTCAAGGATGACTTTGAGGGACTATGACTTCAGTGGAGGAGGTAACTGCAGATGTGCTGAAAATAGCAAAATAACTAGAATCAGAAGGGAAGCCTGAAGATGTCATTGAACTGCTGCAATCTCAGGATAAAACTGAAATGAATGAGGAGTTGCGGTGGCTCACATCTGTAATTCCAGCACTTTGGGAGGCCGAGGTGGGTGGATCACCTAAGGTCAGGAGTTCAAGACGAACCTGGCCAACATGGTGAAACCCTGTCTCTACTAAAAGTACAAAAATTAGGTGGGCATGGTAGCGCGTGCCTGTAGTCCCAGCTACTCCGGAGGCCAAGGCAGGATAATTGCTTGAACCTGGAAGGTGAAGGTTGCAGTGAGCCGAGAAGATGGGGCCACTGCACTCCAGCCAGGGTGACAGAGTGAGAAAAAAAAAAAGAAAAAAGAAGAAAAGAAAGATAGAAAGGGGTTTCTTTACATGAAATCTACTCCTGGTGAAGATGCTGTGAACATCGTTGAAATGACAACAAAGGATTTAGAATATTTCATAAAATTAGTTGATAAACCAAAGCAGAGTTCGAGACAACTGACCCCAATTTCAAAAGAAATTCTGTGGGTAAAATGCTATCAAATAGCATCACATGCTACAGAGAAATGATTCATAAAAGGAAGTCAATCGATGTGGCACACTTGCTTCATTATTTTATTTTAAGAAATTGCCACAGCCACCTGGACCTTCAGCAGCCACCATCCTTGATCAGTCAGCAGGAATCAGCATTTAGGCAAAACCTTCTACTTGAAGAAAGTTTACAACTCCCTGAAAACTCAAGATGATTGTTAGAATTTTTTAGCAATAAAATATTTTTAAATTGTGTATATGTATACATTATTGTTTTAGACATAATACTGTTGCACACTTAAATAGATTACAGTATAATATAAAATTTTATTATGTACTGGGAAACCAAAAAAATTTATGTAATTTACTTTATTGTAATATTTGCATTTTAGCAGTGGTTTGGAACCAAACCTGCAGTGTCTCTAAGGTATGTCTCTACATACCTTCTTTATAAAATAAAAACTTTAATATTATGAAGCTGTCTTGTACAGCTATCTATTCTCCTCAAAATTAATGTATAAATTTGTGAAATTTTCGAACAAAATTTGTGAATCTTGACAAGTTGTTTACAAAATGTATATGAAGCACAACAGCCTAATATTAGCCAGGACAAGTTAAAGAGAAAAATGTGTGAATGATGTATGAAGCTGTAGTAATTAAGGCAGTGTGATATTGATTCAAGAATAGATAAACAGAACAATAGATCACAATGCAGTGTTAATCAAGAGACCCCAGCCTCATAAGTAACTGGAAATTTGCCACATTTCAGAAGTAGCAATACAGATTTGGGAAGTGGGAGTACTCGGACTATTGGGCATCCATATGTGGAGAAAAACTTTCTACCTCATATCAGGTATAAAACAGTCAGTTACATGTCAACAAAATTAGGCCTAAATGTGGAAAGGAAAGCTATCCAGATTTTAGAATAAAACGTAAGAAAGTCTCATTTTCATCTGGGTTAGGAAAGGATTTCTTTAATAATTTAGCAAATGCAAATTACATAGCAAAAAATTGATATATTTGACCCTGTCTAAATGCAAACTAGTGCTATAAAAAACTCCATAGTTAAAATGAAATAGCATGATTGCTTGAGAGAGGATACTTACTATATACATAAACCAACAAATTATTGTCTAGGAATTGTCGGGAGTTTCTACAAATAAAGTTTTAAAAAAAACATACAGTAGAAAATGGCTTTGGGTTTTGGTGGGAGATGGGAATAGGGAATAGTCAATTCACAATAGAAGAAATCCAAATGGCAAAAATAAACAACACAAACATGAAAAAATATTGAGTCTCACAAACAATCAGGAAATGTACATTAAATCAGTGGTAGACTAAACTACCATCCATTTCACTCTCGTCAGGTCAGCAAAAGCAAAAAACTCTTGACAGCGCAAATGGTGTTAGAAAATGTAAGGAATCAAGATATTACCACTGGGGGTATAAATTTGCCAACCACTATGCAAAGAAATTAGACAGTATCTATTTATGTTGAAGTTTTGATATTTGTTAATGTTAGTATGTGTGTTGAGTTCCTTGAGTGTGTGTACTCTAGCATTGAAATGACCTTTTATTTTTTGAAATAGTTCTTACATATGTCATTGACAATAAAGCTGACTTATTTTCCCTTGGCACTCTTTCTTGCCTGGGGTTATGTATTCTAATGCATTAGTATCTTCTTTGTAGTTTAAAAGAATTATGCTTATGCTATAAATTTGCTCTCAATATCTAAGAGAGTATGTTTCTTGATGCGGAAGTTTGTAGTAATTCTACAGCCTCTCTCTAGTGGAGCTTAAAGAGGAGGGAAAGAAGTACCATAAAATGCTGACATTTAGCCTTATTTTTGTCTCTTTTGAATCCCTAGTACCTTTCATTAGAAAGTCCAGTTTTTGTTTGTTTTTATTACTCCTAAACTGCTTGTATGAAAGATGCACCCAAACTGGGTAGCACCTAGAATTCTTCAATAACTACCTCTGGAAAAAAAAAGGAGGTTTTTTTTTTTTTTTTTTTCCCAGTAATGTCATGTTTATAATCCTCCTAGTGATTAAGATTTCCCTTTCCAGGGACTTTAAAGTAAGTGTCATATTCTCAGAAGAACACATGCCACTAGGGAATGTAAACATGTTTTTATAGGAATCAAATAGCTGTTCTTCCAATTAATTATTTCGTCAGTAGAATCTGCATTTATTTAATGTCTGACATCTGTGATAAAACCTTTATAATCTCAAGCTTTTTGCTCTAAAATTTTGTTACAGTGCATAGTTTAGCATCTATTTTACTTTTATTAACATGTTTTGTTAATAGAGGCCTCCCTGTGAGGGTATGCATAAGAGCTTGTTTTAAGTATTTATTGCATCACAATAATTTAATATAATTAAATAATAAAATTAAATACTACAGGTATCACCTTACAATCCTTGTAACCAAGGAGAGAGACTTGAAACCTAAGGATTTCTGTTTTTCTTCAGGGTTGGGTTTCAGTTTTCCCTTTAGAGATAGGTTTGCAGAAAGGACATCATAAATGTTCATTCTGCTCCCAGTGTAGTAAATTCCTAGCACAAAGAAATGGAAGGCAGTGTGGTTTGGATTTCTGTCCCTGCTCAAATCTCATGTGAAATTGTAAACCCTCAATGTGGGATGAGAGGCCTGGTGATAGGCAATTGGATCAAGGGGGTGGACTTCCCCATTGCTGCTCTTGTGATAGTGAGTGAGTTCTCACTGGATCTGATTGTTTAAAAGTGTATAGCACCTGCCCCTTCTCTCTTCCTCCTGCTCCCACCGTGTAAATCATGCTTGCTTCCCCTTTGCCTTCTGCTGTGATTTTTAAGTTTCCTGAAACCTCCCCAGCCATACTTTCTGTACAGCCTGCAGAACTGTGAATCAATTAAACCTCTTTTCTTTATAAGTTACCCAGTCTCAGGTAGTTCTTTATAGCAATGTGAGAATGGACTAATACAGAAAGCATGGCTGCAATTAGCCATGATAAATTCTCCTAATGCAGATAAATATAATGTTAAAGAAAAAATTTTAGAATTATAGTATTTCCTAACAATGATTTTTTTTTTAATTTGAACTAAAGGAATATTTAAAATGAGATTAAGGAGGCTAATTGTTACACTTATGTCGTGTTTCTCCAGGGGTATGGGTTGAAAACTACTGATGTGAACTTTATCTTTTCATTCTTTCTTTACATTTTTAGACCAGATGGAGACTATGCATCTTCCCTTAATGGTGGAAATATTAAAGGCATTGAAGGAAATTCACCTGGAAACTTACCAAAATTCTGCCATGAGTGTGGGACTAAATACCCTGTAGAATGGGCCAAGTTCTGCTGTGAATGTGGCATTCGAAGAATGATTCTATGAATAGAATCTCAAAAAAAAAAAGCCAAGTTCAGAGTTTATGATTATTGCTGTTTAGATAGCTAGAGCACTCACTTCCTGTAGTTATTTTGTGCTAAAAATACTCAAAATACCATTTCCAGTAATTTTGGAGCATAATCTTTTGGCTATATAATATAATGTGTGTGTATTTATATGTGTACATATACTGTATATACTAAATATCTCATATCCCAGACTGTGCCATTCAAGGAAATAATGACTTATCAGTCAGAAAATAATTTCAAATGGAATGATTAATTTAGGTGTTACTTTTCTGTTGTTAAACCGCATTAAGTACATTTCCATTAACTCTCATACTCTAGTGCTTAGCCCTTCAAGCTTTAGGATAATTATAACTTTGAGCAAAAAATTTGAATAAACATTTGTATCTAGCTTAAGATAGTATCATAGTAGGTTAGATGCTGGGAATTTTGTAATTAAAGAGAATGGTTTTAGTTACCATTAGGTATGTAAGGTCACTTTCCTGTAGAGCATGTCAACTTATTTTATAAATCCTAAAAACTAAGAGAAAAAACACCCCTCTATTAGTTATATAATTTAATCATCTTACTCATTTTGTAAAAATGTAATTATGCAATTTCCTTTTCAAAAATACAAGACTAAAAATACAAATCTTACTCTATTTATAACTGAATGATTTTTTTTACTTCTGTATCTATTGGTTGAACATATTTTTTTTACTTTCAACTGTTTTTCCAAATTTTACTTTTTTCTTCCTTTTTCATAACCTGTGAAGAGTAGTTTTAATTTGCTATTTGATTTTTTGCTGTATTTGAAAATGGAATTATTTAGTATAGAAAGCACAAAATTCCCGGCAAAATCTTACATGTTTAAAAACATTTAATTTTTTGTATCTGAATTTAGAATAAATTATTTTAATGCATTTTGAAACAAATCACCTCACCTAATCATAATGGTTGTGGTAACTAACCATTAGTACAGAGCATGCAGATAAAAAGTATTTGAATTTTTTTTTCCTGGAAGTAGATGTAGTTGTGAGTAGGTTAAGAGAATATCCAATTTTGCTACTCATAGTTTATTCTTTAATGTATAATGTTGAAACACCATTCATGTCACAATAAGGACCCACTAAAAATGTATTGTTTAAAGCATAATTTACTTATCTAATTAAACATACACAAAAATTTAGTTATTTTTTCTCTTTAATCTGACTACAATACAGCTCTTAATCATTGTCACTTTCAGTATAGCATAGTAATTAGTAGTAGATTTCCTTGATGGCAGCAATTCTGTAATTTCTGTTCAATCAAACCTAAGAGCTTTGATCTTACTGTAAGGTACAATCAAATCTTTTATATAATTCCTAGATTTTGTTTATGATTCTGATCAACTATAAGACACAATGTGAAGATTTGTGGCTTACATTTTTCTAAAATTTATTAACATTGTTTATTTGGGGCAGGAGTTATAAACTTAATAGGAATTGTCATTTTACTTACCTTATAGTTTCTTTCCTGGCTTTTTACTAGTATTTTCCCCCCAGTTATCTTTATTCGGTCGTATTGGTCAAAACAAACAAATAGTCCAACTGAAATAAACTGTAATGAATTTAGAAGACAAATGCACATATTAGATTTCCATTTCAATCACTTCTGTCCTGTTATAAATCATATGAAGAACTTTAAACTCTTGTTTTATCTAAGGCTAAGCACTGCTTTTTTCCAAAGTATTTTTTTTAAGACCACATAATTTTTTTGTCTGCTCAAGGAAGGGATAGATAAGTAATTGGCACATATTTGTTTCTCACTGAATTTTACAGTAGTAAATAAATGTTATAATGTACTACATGGAGATCAGCTGGTAAGAAAACATCCAGTTCCAGAGCCCAGATATTATTATTAACAGTGGGTGAAATAGATTTATGACTCCTGAAATATGTTGTGACAATGTATTTAAATACATTTTTGTATTACTTGCATATTTTATTCTCACACTGATTTATTGTGCAATAGTTCTGTTTTTTAAAAAATTGTCCTATGCATCATGTATTTTATTTTTATTTATTTTCACAAGTATTTGACAGTATGGTAGAAAAAAATGATTGTAAGCTTAAATTAAAAATGTAAAAATTACTTATGTATTATTCTGAAATGCATTAGGTTGAAGAAGTAAGATGATATGGTGACTATTATTTCTTGTCCACTATATGTTTGTTTTTTCACCAATGTCTTCATATTTGAAACTATTCAATAAAGACATGAAACATAAAAATGCTAGTTCATATTCACTGATATCTTTTGGCCACACATAGAAAGATAGGAATACCCCCAAAAAAGATAGGAACCCAATGAAATATAAAAAAATATTTGAAGTAAAAAATTCAGATTTAAAAAAAAAAAGTAGTTTTTCATTGGCTGTATTCTTATGCCATCAGCTTTTAAAAATGTATTACCATTTTATTGAAGTGTTTTCTGACATCAAAGTATTAGAAATGTTTTTGTTACAAGTTTTTTGAGGCATTATCTTCATAGACAATACATTTAGCATATTTGTGATGTCAAGGTTAATAGGAAACATGGACATTCTACTTAATGATACAGTTTAATGGCAAAAGATATCTGTGATGAATATTTAATATTTTAGACCACCATATTTAAAATTTAAAAAGAACTTAGTGAAAATTTCAGATTAGACATGTTTAATTTGTGCTCAATTTTCCATAGGCTAGAGGTGAACACTTAACCATGAGTAGAAGCTCTGGAGATGAAAAAATGTCAGAAAAATACAAAGAATCATCAGAGCACTTGGGTATTTATTTTCATTGTATGTGTGTGTATTTTACATTGTAAGTATGTTTTAGTACTAAGATAGGTTGATTTCTTTCAAATGAGTATTATTGAATAGAGCTATGGAGAAACTAAAGTAAATCCATAATAATTTTTATTTTCATTTAGAAAAAATTCAGTTAAATGTTACTCAGGATGCTCCTTATTTTAAACACAATTTTGCTTAGCTTGTATGTGAATTGCCCTTTGGCCACTAGAGGGTGCATTTGGATAATTATTTCATAATAGTACTGGCCTATTGTTTTTAAAGGCCTCTCAGCAATATAGATAGGATTTTTGACAACACAAAATTGCAGAGATTTATAAAAGTAGTTTTCTTTGCTTTGTTGTGATTTTAATAAGGTGTTTATATCTTAGAAATTTTGCCCAGCTCAACTGGGTCACCAGCATTGCAGTAATTGATAGAGATATTTAATAATTACACTTCACAATATTTTGTTAGCAAAATTATGCCTCTCAAGCATATCGCTTATGGATGTTACATGGATTAGTAAATATTCCTTGAAATATTACTTTAATATTTCATCTTAGTTCTATTACAGTTTAGTAGATTATAGTCTGATTTAAGATAAGGATATTTTTTTCCCCAATCCTTTAGCCTGATTTAACTTTATCTAACACATGAGAGTGTAGTCTGTTTACATATGAGCTAATAATTGGTTAGGCCAACTACTGTAAGGTGCACAAAGCTAAAGCTTCATGCTTACCATTAAAAAATGCTTTATGTGCTCTTCATGTTATGCAATGGTGGGGATCAAGAGAATAAGATGTGATGAAGTGTCTGCCCTCAAGTTGATACAATTCATTTCGAGAAACTGATATATAAATAGACAGTTACAATGTGGGACAAAAATAAGTGATTTACTTTAATGGAACGTTTGTTTATCATGAAGGTACCAACAAAGTGTAACAGAAATTTAGTGGGAGCTTCATATAACCATAAATTATACAGCTCACCATTTCCTATTTTCTTTTTTCTTCCTTGTCCCAGTGCTTGAGAGGAAACCAGAGTATGAACAAGAACTGTTTTACCTTTTAGTGGAGAAAGGACAATTTCCAGTGGAAACAATGTATGTGTGGTCCATTTGATCTGTATAATGGGAACTGTTTCCGTAGTCCTGAGGACTGAGGAAAAGAGATGTTGAGTAAAAGTTACTGATAATTCCAGTTGTTCAATCTTATCTCACTTAGTCCTCTCTTTCTTTCTCTGCCCAAATACCTCTATTTCTGCCCCTCCTTTCAATTTGCAGCACTGACACTGGGGATGGGAGACAGCCAGTAGTGCTGAGTACTGTCGAGTACAGTTAACAGTGAAATGCTGCTTTTCACTCATCAAATCATCAATCTTAAATTGTGATAAAACTGAAAACCTGTCATGGGGCATTAAGATGAATGCCCTTATGTACTGATGGTGGAACTATAAGTTGATCATACTTTTTGAAAAGGTCGACTAAATTTACATTAAAAGCCTTTAAAACATTTGTGCTTCATAACCTAATAATTATATTTCTAAGACACACTTAGGAAGTATAGGAAAATATGCAGAATATGATTAACAATACTATATAGTGATGAAATTGAAGAAACTATAGTAAATTGGCCATTAAAGCAATTTTCAATAATTTTAATGTCATAACAAGTTAATTGCTAAGATAAAAATTTTCAAATAATGTTTGTATATAAAATATTCTAATCATGTAAAAAAGTATATAGAAAAAAGACTGGAACTATATTTCTCAATATATTGTGCTTATTTTTACCAAGGATATTTGGTAAGTCATCTTTTATATTTTTTTATATTGTCAACTTATAAATGCACATTGCCATTATAATTTTTAAAAAGCAAATAGGTTTCTGTTTTTCCAGGTTAATCGTGCTCATCTGGAAACAGTTAATCTGAAACTGCCATCTTTTACGTTGTTTTCTAATATTCACAAATGTCATGTGATCTAGTTAAGGTAGTTTGTTTTTAAAATAACTGTATTGCTGAAAGTGGCCTGTTAACCTAGGTATAATTTTAATGAAATTATTTTTCCTAAATTTCATTCAAGAGGACATTCTATTTTTTGAATTTTAAAATTTTTATTATTTTTTTAATAAGAATTTATTTTGCACATTTTAAAAATTGCAATTTTCAGGATGGGTAAGAAAAACATTTTTCTAATACTGAAATAAGCATGTCTTTGGTATAGAAATCACACCCTATGTGTGATCTTTAACCAAAAAAACTAATCAAGAACTATTATGTAATATGCTAAACAAAACTATTATTTGCCCATTCATCTGTCCCCTTTCATGGCCCCATTGTTATGCTTTAGAATACAGTTCTGTACACGTCTGTATCTACAAGGAATTAAGATGCCATATCAAAGGTGTCCAGAAGTTATATATGGTAGAGAATTAGTTGGCTTAATCCTTGACACATAACACAAAACACCAAAAGCAATGTAAGATACAGGACAAGTGAAAATAGAACATTGTCACTAAGGTCAAATAATATAAAAACAATCACATCATTTAAGTTTGATGCATTGGAAACAAAGTAACTTCTTTATTATGTAAACAACTTGCAAAGCTCAAAAGGTAATAGCACAGAGCCATAAATTTGATGAGGCACTTTAAAGACAGCAATCAAACATAAAAGTATCAAATACCAAAAAAAATTGTAAAAGCAGTAACCATATAAATAAATGGGAATATATGCAGTCTTTCTAGTCTTTCATTTTCTGAAGGAAAGCCTTCTACAAAAAAAGAAGCACAAATATGTGTATATTTTTAAAAGCTGTCATCAAAGTTAAGATCTGCATAAAGAGAATGTTTTCCTTGTTAGTAAAAGTTTGGATTCAAACATTTCCTAGAGAAACAATTACAATCTTCATGTTATATATAGGAAGAAAAATAGCTTTTAATTATGTTTGTCAACTTTTTGATTCAACAAACATTTAGTGACTGTTATGTGAACGGTTTTAGGTGCTGAGAATATAGAAGTAAATAGAAGTAAATCAAAAACAATCATTAGCTCTAGAGTACTGAACCTAATGGAACTGAATCTATCACTGGCAACCTTAAAATCACCTCCATATGTCCTTAAGCTGAAGCTCAACTTCAAACTCTGATATGCTTGGCATCCTGTTGCAAAACAAATAATGATCTACCTAGTTTGCCACTGGTAGCACTTTGGCACTATTAATATGAACTATCAACTGATGAAATTAACTTTCATTAAAGATTATACAAAAGTTTAGAGACTAGAAAATATGAATGGATAAACAAGTACTGGTTAACAATAAAAATAGCATCAGCATTCTGCTTTCACAAAAGCCAAGAAAATCAAGAAAAATTTCATTCTGAGTATATAGAGAACTGCTGGAAAGAGATCACAAATATCATATATGAGGAAGAATGACTTATTACACAATCACTTTAACAACTAAGCATGTCAAATCAGTCATCAGGTCTCAAATAATCATAGCCTTCTTTCAAGAAGTCCTTCCAGGTTTTAAGGAAACGCATTTTCTGTACATTTGAAGATAAGCTCTTCCACTTGAGCTGATACTGCAGATGTGACATCAAGAAAGTTGGTTAATGAAAATGCCACATTTCTGATCTGCAGCTCCACTTTCTCCTGTGGGTCCTCCGTTTAGCCATTGCTCCTGCTCAGAACTTGACCAGCCCAAACCCACTGGATGCCTGGAGAAGATGGTGAAAGGTGTCTGAAGATGAGGGAAAATTGGGAGGTTCTGGGAACTGGTTAAGAAATCCACAACTCCTCAAGGTCAGTCATCGGGAAGAGCTAGGAGCTCAGAATCCAACCAGCAAGAGGAAATTCTAACACAGGTTTGTTTTTTTTCTTACTCTTTTTATCACCTCTGATTTTAAGAGTGCGGGTAATACAAATAAAGTTTTACTCCATAGAACATAGAATAAAAACAGTTGATCTAAATATTTAAGAGCTATTTTGCCATGCTATTGTTGAATTGGGAGGAATGTATATTTACATTTCTGTATATGAACATGTGTATGAAATATTTAGATCTGTTTTCATATATTTGCCTATTTAAAGCTTAATTTTTAAAAAAGTTTAATTATTTATCTTCTAATTATTGTCAAGGAGAACATTTCAAGAACTAGAAAGTTTTAAAAATATATATTTTTACTTATCTTCTCAAACTTATTATAGGGAAAACTCATATAAACTCTGCAAAAAACATTGAGAACTCTAAATTTTATTTTAATCATTAATTCTTTATGATTCACTTTGGAAACATGCTATTTAATTAACTATTAATTTGAAAATTCAAAAATAGTTTAAACACCATTTGAATAAGCCCTATACCCTCTCTGAGCCAGTCTATTCTCATACCATTTCCTTTTAGTAAACACAGTTATGTTTCTCCCTCTGAAATCAGTAGAAAGTTTGTTTCTCACTGATGTCATTACCAGAAAGCTATTTTTGAGGAGAAAGAGGCCTTATCATTTATTGGCTCAGTTACTTCAACATAATTTTAGTAGAAAACATTGGACAATATTAAACACTGCCCAACTCGTGTCTACTAGAAATATTTTGATTTGTGATATATTTAAAATCTAAATATTGTTATTGTCTGTAACGGGCATTTGTCACTGTTATGGCTAGTACCTTTTGAGAATCCTGTTTTGTGAATTTCCCATGGTGAAAATCTCACTGCATCAAAATTGTACCGAGAATTTATAGTTTTCTATACTTTACTACAGCTAGGGAGTAGTCATGTGACTTGGGAAATACTGAACAGACTTGGATTCTGAAAACAAGTAATGTGAAATTGACACTGCAGCTTCCATTTCCTAGTGAGGATGGTGAAGTTTATTGAAGAGACACTGAGCTTCTAAGGTAGCTGTGGCAGAGCATCAAGAAGTGACACCCTTATTGCAACATGTGGCCTGTTCCCCATGGTAATATTTTAACTGACTGTCCTCCCCTCCAAGTTTGGAGGCTGTTCAGCCAGAAACAGTGCCAAGTTGGTAATTATAACTTGGGCATTATTTGTGGCTGAACAGCCTCCAAACTTGATTATCTGGCTCTCCCAGAGATTCTGTGCATTTCCCAATAGATTTTAATTATTATTATTATTATTTTGCTTAAACTAACTAGACTGGGATCTGCTATTTGCACTCAAAACTCTTCAACAATCGAATTTGGTATAACTTGTGCTTTCCTTTTACAGTGGCTGTGGTAATAGGGGATATGTCAAAATCATATTTTACAGAAAATAATGTTTGATATACTGAAACAAAACATCTTCCTTAACCCAATCATGGTGTTAGATAAACACAAACTGAATTTAAGAAGTATGCTTTGAGTATAATTATATGTATCTTGCAGGATGAATTTGAGGATTATCAGTAACATGTATAAAATCTTTGCCACAATGTCTGACACTTAATAGGCCTCAGTAAATGTCATGAATTATTTATTATATAATGTTAGATATCAAATATTGTTTTATTTTAATTCCCACCAAGCACTATTTTAGATGCAGTGAACAAAGCAGTAAAAAAATTTCTGCTTTTTTGAAGTTCACATTCTAATGGATGAAGATTTAAAATAAATATGACAAACAAGTAAATGTGCTTTATATAAAATTCTGACAATGCTATGAAAAAAACCATGTGGGATTAGAATGCAAATGTGAGGGAGAGTGGAAGAGGGTTACAATTTTAGATAGGGTGTTCAGGGACAATTTCATTGAAAAAAGTGATATTTAAGCATGGATCTGAAAGAGGAGTAAGTCATTTTTGTACCTCCTTTTTGCTTACTAGTTTATTGGATTAATTTCCTTTAACACTTAGTACTTTCTGTTAGGGTATTAAATATGGTTGAAATGTGAAAATGGACAAGAGAGGAAAGAGTATTTCATGAAAAGAGTTAAACAAGCTCACAGCTCTGTGGTGGCAGCCCAATACCTCTGGAATGGTGTGTGCATGGAGAAGAGTAGAAAATTAGTCATGTAACCAGGCAGCCAGATTATGTATGCTTTAGAAGCCATTCATATGACTTTGGCTTACTCAGAGTAAGATGGGAATAGGAGATGGCATAATCTGGCTTAAACATATGATCTGAGTATACCTTTTAGACCCTAAATTAGTGAGACATAAAAGCAAGAGAAAATTATTGTCTCCCATTCCTCCCTAAAGTGGTCACAGGTATTGATGAGATTAAGTGTTGTTAGTACTCAGTTTTAAAAAAGTATTACATGATATAATATAGAGTTGAAGCAAACTGAGACTCCTCCCTGACCTGAGTATAAAACAAAATGATCAGTTTTCTTAATAGTGCCCTCCAGTCCTCTAAGCTCTCATCCTCAGGCCCACTTATTAGAAATAAAGCCCTATTTGTTATTGACTCAACTACTTTGTCTTGCTTAGGATGTAAAGATTAGTCATTAATTCTAGTTTCTTAATATATTACCTAATGCTCATAAATTTGCTTTTCATTCTCATTTCCTCATTCATCAATGTAAAATAATCTCAATAAACTTTTATATGTAAGGGACAGAAATCCTTTTAGATACCTTGAGAAAAAGGGTTTGACAGAAGGTACATGTGGATTAGAACTGGAAGGTCATTAAGTCCTGAGAAAGTTCCAGGACTGGTACATCTGTGGGCCTCTATGCCTCTCTTAGCTCATCTGTCCATTCTCTGTTGTCTTCTTCACTCACTGTGGTCAACTTTTTTGCTTCTCTTTTCTTTCAGCTTGCCAGTGCCCAACTTAATTAAACCTTGAAACTTCCTTTCCATTTCAGGGTGATTTGGAGCAAATTCATGTGTTGTGGTTGTAATTCCTGGCATAGAGCACCTAAATCAGCACATCTTTTCAAGCTGCATGACATATATCACAGGTCATTAGCCAGTCTGTTAATTGGTTGCACTTAGGGGAATTGCCCTATTCTCTCTTCCCTTTAGTTGGTACAGAGGAATGAGTTCACATGATTAAAGAGGATGGCTACTTAGAAGAATAAATAGTGCAGGATCCTTTTCAGGTCAATGTCGACATGCCAAGGAAAGATTGACATATTTCAATAACAAGTATTTGTTTACATTTTAAGAGTCAAACTAGAAAATTTGAAATTTGGTTGAAGTGAAAATGTAGAAATGTATCATAACTCTTTATTAATTTAGTGTTAAGTTTCTTAACAGCAGTAGCATGACAAATCCCTGAGAAATATGCAAACCTTCTGATGAGGGGGCAATGGGTAATTTTAAAAGGCAAATTCAATATATCTATTATCTTTATAATACAAACAACAGAAAGTAAGTTGACAAAACCTTGGCTGGGGAGTCTATGCAGAAGATAAATTAAGAATTTTAAAAGTGAGATTTCAAAAGTTTCTACATTCACAGAAGGCATGATCTCTATTTTGTAAATGTCATTACCATCTTTGTAGAAAATCTCAA